TGGCCCATGAGAGTATCAGTGCAAGGATGTGTAGGGATTTAACCATCCTCCTGACATTAATGGAGAGCAAAAAAGGAGGGATGGCAAAAAAAAATAAAAATAATAATAATAATAAAATAAATAAATAAAATAAATAAAAAAATGTTTCCCAAATAAGTTGCTTTAAAAAAATGACATGTTACTAGCAAAAAAGGAGGGATGGCAAAAAAAAAGAATAAAAAATATTTCCCAAATAAGTTGCTTTAAAAAACTGACATGTACGTCAAAAGGAGAAGACCAGCTGATATTAGTTCTTTGTCAACACAGGTCAGTTCCCAATACAGAAGTTGAGAAGTGCAATGTAATGTAATCCCTAATGTAAAGGAAACCCACACTTGGCTTTCACTTTGGTCGGTGATAAGAACTTTGGTCAGTGATAAGAGTAAAAACTAAATGAAATGATCTTTACAATATCTGACTAGACAACCATAGTGTCCAAAAAAATAATAAGTAGAATGAATAAAAATGAGGAAATAAATAAAATGAACAAACAAATAAAAATAGATAATTGAATAAATGAAAAATTAAATGATTAATGTGATAATAAGAAGGAATAAGATAAAAATGCAATGAAATATAAGAGAGAGAGAGAGACAAATTGATGTTCCAAGGTAGATTAAAATTTTTTCCCCTACTAGTAAACCAATTCCAACCATGCAGTGCTTTATTTGTATTTTCACTCAAATCAAATTTTGAGACAGAATTTCTTAGTATCATGTATATTTGGCAAACATTTATTTGAAAATGAGCCCCTGTTGGATGTCCATTTTTCTGGTCAAATAATCAAGTACTAGTAATGCATTCATGTTATAGTGTGGAGTACACATTTACTATTTAAACTGCAAATGCTGGTAAATAAGATTTTACAAGATGCTCAAAAACAGTGGAAATTCAGGCTAGGAGGAGAGATTTTCTTCTGTTTTTGGCATTCTTTATGATTTTACTATTAAGCATCATGTAATATTGCATCAAAATTGACAAATTACCCTATTATCTGCATCATTATATCCTGCTATTCGACAGTGTTGCTTCCTTGTTTAATATACTACATTTATAACAAACCAGGATGTTGATATATCAGGTTTGAACAGGAGATCCAGTCCCAGCCAGGCGCGGGGGGGTCCTGCACCCTCTAGGTTTATATACGTACTACCTAATGAACCAGGATGTTTAAATATATATCAGGTTTGAGCAGGAGATTCAGTTCCAGTCAGGGGCGGGGGATCCTGCACCCTCCAGGTTTATATACTACATAATGAACCAGGATGTTGATATTTCAGATTTGAACAGGAGATCCAGTCCCAGCCAGGGGCGGGGGGTCCTGCACCCTCCAGGTTTATACTGGGCTCCAACACCTACAGCAATGTCCAGGCCAGGTTGAGTGCCATTGCCAACCCAGGACATAGCCTGGACCCTCCACCACCCCCTCCACAGGTGTTAACATCTGGGAACTCCTCACTACCCTCAGCTACTATACAAGGTATGGGGAGGAGTCTAATCAATTTTCATTTAACACTTGTTTCGATAATTATTATCTTGATAATGAATTCATTCTACACTTGTTTTGATAATTATTTGAACTAATTATTTGGAATTATAAATTTCCACGGTACAATTTGATTTGGTTAGTTAAACTTCAGTGTTGATTCAAAATTTTTGAATTAGTTTTATTAGTTGGCTTGTTGTTGGAAAGGACTTACTGACTTTATGATTGATTGAAAATGATGTAACTTGAGAAAAATAAGATATTAGATATTAGAATTTGGCATTTGAAAATTTTTCTGGACATATGGTATTGCTATTTTTAGATTTGGAATTTTTTGTTTTTAATTTCTGAAGATTAAAGGCAAAGTGATCTTTAATTTATTTTTTCCTCAGCATTAACACAGCTCATTGTTATGCTTGTAGGCATTGCAGCTGCGCCTCCACCTCCACCTCCTTCGGGCCCCCCTCCTCGCCCCCCTCCTGTATTCGTACCTCCACAGCTGCGCCAGAGACCCCCTGGTATGAGGCCTCAATATGGACCTCCACCTTCACAGCAGGGGAACATGAGACCCCCTTTTAACCCTGCAATGGGCTTTCCCCAACGGGGGCCTCCTCCACGCATGCCACCCCCAGGGTACCCCCCTGGCATGCAAGGACCCATGGGGGGCCCCCCAGGCGGGGGATATTATGGACATGCACACCCAGGCCCTTCTGTGCCTCAGCACCCTTCAAATGCTGCTACTATTGAGAAGCCAAAAGTTGTGTACAGTGCCCCTCCAGTGAGAAATGTTCCAAAGACAAACAACAGTATTAATACAGCTGATACAGGCAGTGCACAGGCTGAAAAACCTGCCGACGAGGAGGTTGGGTCAGTGGTGCCTGGGATACAGGTCAACGTGTCCGTTGACGAGCCTCATTTCCAGCAGGAAGGGATAGTGCAGAACGTGGATGGCGAACCTATGGACATGATGACGGTGGCGGCACAGCAGACAAAGAAAGATAAGAAAGAGAAAAAGAAAAAGTTTTTAAGAACGGCGGCTGGTGATGTGTGGGAAGATCCATCTCTGGCAGAATGGAATCCAGGTATGGGGAAGTGACTTAAAGGCTCACAAGGTGCTTTACTAGGGTAAAATAATGCCTCATTTCACTTTACAAATATGAGTATATAGTAAACGAAGACAATTTTATTATAACATGGGTACATGGCTAAAAAAACTGAAGGAGGAGAAGGGGTCACTTTCAAAGTTAATTTGGGGGGAGGTAGCACTAGGGGGCTTGATTTGGTCTTAAAGTGCAACTTAAGATCACAGATTGTCTTACATGATCTTAAACCATGAGTAAGACCATTTCTGGTCTAACAGCCAATTAAGTTGTCTCCCCTTACACATTCTCCTATTGTGAGCAGAGGTGTCCTCTATTGTAAGGGGAGGTATCCCCATTGTGAGGGGAGGAAACTGCTTGACCACTTAAGTAGATGTTAGATCATTTTTGAACTTAAAAGCAGATTCAGTCAATTTTAAGACTACTGCTGTTATGATTAAGATCGTGTAAGATCACAAGTTATCTTAAATTGCACTTTAAGACCAAATCCAGCCCACTAGTGTAGACTACTGTCGCCTCAGTGATATGCTGTTGTACCGTCATGTTCGCAAAGAAAAAAATTACTACTGAATTGTTTTACCAAATTTTGAACAACTTTTGTTTTATATGTATTTCCAGATGACTTTAGGATATTTTGTGGTGATTTAGGCAATGAGGTCACAGATGAAATATTGGCAAGAGCTTTCAACAGGTGAGTGAAGAATAATTTGTGAAGATCCAAAGAAGACATGTAGCACATAATTACTAGTAAAAAATGAAAAAAAATTGGAAGATTACGGAATTTGATTTGTGGTGTTAGTGTACATGAAAGTCATGGAAATCTGAGATAGTCTAAAATGAGGCTTTTGACACATCAAAAGTATCTTTATATTCGTGATCACCGCAGTTGTTTGAAATTTACTTCACGTTCACCACCCCACATTTTTAACTTTCAGGTTTCCAAGTTTTGTGAAAGCTAAAGTGGTGAGAGACAAGAGATCAAATAAGACCAAAGGTTTTGGTTTTGTAAGTTTTGGGGACCCTAATGACTTTGCCAGGGCCATGCGAGAGATGAATGGTAGGTAGTTTACAATATTATGATACAATTATTGACTTTGGCTGACATCATTATGTTGTCTAGCAGACATGGTTATATTGATATTGATTGACTGGTCACCTAAAAGTGAAGGTGAAACATGCTTTTTCATTACTCGTTACACACTTTACAAACACACACACACACGCGCGCGCTCGCGCGCCATAAGACACCATTGCACATTGTGAGATCGGATAGAAAGATTGGTTCACCACACAGTGATTTCATTTTATTAAATCATTTGCCAGCCTTTCTGTGGACAAACAAACAGCAGCTGTCCATGTAATACTGCCTTATCAATTATTGAACAATAAATTTAATTTAAAACTGATAAAGTCTCCTTCTGCCATCTGATAGTTACAGCAAAGTTCACATGCCCCCATTCTCAAGACATGAGTGTTATATATTATTTTGTCTATCACATAAAAACTACTCATGTTCTCGTGTCATTATTGTTCTATATCTGCCTTAACATGTTGCTGCACCATAAACAAGGGCAATTAATCTAGCGTGATTGCCTTGTTTTGAAAATTAAGCTTCCTGTGGATTTAATTTGTTCGGAGAAGAGAAATAATATATTTGGCGAAAGTACCCATTACGTGTTTGATATGTCTGCTTCCACCCACTGCTACCCTGCCACCATTTGGAATGAAGTCCTTAATTGATAAACTGATTTGCGAGTATCAGGGAACATTACTTGACTTGGTGATTGTCCTTAATAGAGTATGTACATATATAATTCATATTTTAATACCGTAACTACGTGTTTGTTTGGGATATATGCAGTGTAATGTTAACAATCACATTTTGGGGGCGTGATTTTGCCCATTTTTTTCCCTTATTGGAAATTGACTTTGATGCTGTCCTGAGAATAAAAGAAGGCTCAATCTGATTGAAATTCATAGTAATCTGTCTACCAGGCTCCTGCTTTTGTGCTGACAAAATTGTTGTTGCGCTTTCTTTTGTGAGAGTTGTAAACCCTTCTCTGCTGTCTGGATGAGGGAAAACCCCAGGTTTCGATCTTGTCTGTAGGAATGGTGTTATGGTATGTTGGCTTAGGGTCTGCAAATACATAAAAAAAGGTGAATTAAATTATTTGAAATGGAATTATTTTTGAAAGAATTAGAAGTCTTTAACCAATAAGACATAGAGCAGATGCTAACTAACAGTGATTCACAGCACAACGTTCATTTTTCATAAGTAGAAACAAAGAATCATTTCTCAGAGTTAACAGGAACATTTTGCATATTAGAAAAGCTAAGAAAAAAAAACTGCAATAGTGACACCAGAAAATATTTTTCTTTCACTTTAAGTTTTATTTTTGCAATTTGTTAAGCCCAAAAGCACTGAGGATGGACTCAACAGATTTTAGTGAAGTATCTTGTACTGATTACCCCAAGTGTTGCTTTTTTGAGTCAACAGCTACATTACAATTTTGGTTCGCCCAATTTTTCAATAATGTGCACCATGATGATCAAACCTTTAGAAAAAAAACTTATTAAATCATTAATGCAACTTACTTGGTAAGTACCATTTTGGTTTGTATGTCCTGTCTGAAACTTGGAAATCAAAATATTGAGGGTTATTGCTTGCAAATGGATATGACCTTTGGTGTTCAGGACTTGTATGCAGGTGCTTATTTATGGACCCAAAGATGTCTCTTCCTGAAATGCCCCAAAGTAGACTTAAGTAGAAGATGCACAAAACAAAAATGTGTCAGTCAAAAAAAAAGAACACAAGGGCTTGTAGAAATAACACCAATAACAAATACATTTTACGCAAACTGAAAACTGAGATGAAAACAAGTCCTCCTGTATCTTATACTGCTTTTTGAAATATCTTTATTTTTAAAACACTTATAGTTTCAGCATAGATACTCACTGTAATATATTTAGCATTTTGACTGTACTTTTATACAAAATATTTTTATAAAATACATAAACCACAACCAAGCATGTGTTGCAGGATTGTATGCTGATTAGTATAACTTTGTTTTCAGAGCCAAAAAGTCTTATCATCCTCGTAAATTTTTTGTTTTGTAAGTTGTTTCCATATCAAGAACAAGTAATATTATTACCTCCAGTGGTACCCAACAGGTAACTAGGATAACGTATCAGCTGCCATGGGTGATATACTGGTACTTGCTTGACACTTGAAAATGGCCGCTTACCAATGGGCCTCCAGCTACTGCTGCCTGTGTTGAAAATAAATGTAATACTTTCATGAAGCTTAGAATAAAAGTTCAAGAGCACTTGAAGCCCACTGGTTTTAAACTGAAATTGCTACAGTGTTGGCTCAGTGTGTGTGTGTGTGTGTGTGTGTGTGTGTGTGTGTGTGTGTATTTAAAGTCATCTGACCAAGAATGGCACAGTGTTTATAATCCAAGAAATACCCCACAGCAACCTGCCTATTGATTTGTTGCTAATTATATAATGTATCTGAGGAGGGTTTAGAAAAATTAGTCTCCTTAGAAATCAATCATGGCTAACTTGCACCCAGTGGCACCAAGATTAAGGTACTAAGAGCATGAATGAAATCTTTGTTGGACACTGAAATGTCCGTTCACTTCTTAGAATAGTTCCCCATTCCAAATATATCAGTGCTCTTTATCTTTCTTATTATGGGTTGAAAAATGAGTGAAGAGGGAAATGGCTCAGAAACAATTGTGTGCATGTGGTAGCAGTTTTCCTGGATAATTGATATTGTTCAAATTTACTTTTTACTGCAAATAGCCCATTGTTTTTAATTTTAGAAATCTTCACAAGGCAACTGAATGGTTTTATGAGTTGAAAGAAAAGCACTGTTAAAATCAGAATACTCTATTCAGTCAGTGCTTAAACTCCCTCTTTTATTCCTCCCTCTCTCCTTCCCTCTCTCTCTCTCTTACTCATTCTCTCATATCTATGATTAATACAGGACTTGTTAATTGTGACTAGAAGCATATAACTCACAAGCAAGCAATAGGAGAAAGGAAATTGAATCACCACCCTATATTCCTTGGAGGATTCATGTTATTTCTATAGGAAGTCCCCACCTTCCCATCTCACAGTAAGAGGTCATGAAGTCAGAAATGGCTTTCTACAATTGATATACTGATAGATATTAAGCCTGTATGTGCAGGGGTTTGCTGGAGGAAGCTTTGCATGTGATTTAAAGGCTACTGGGTTTTTTCAGAGAAGGGTATCGAGCCGTCGAGATCGACAATCTCATGTGGTCATTCATAAAGAGAAAGGAAAACGTATCTGGTGCTGTGTTAATATGTTAAGTGAGATCGCTGTGTAATCACATTAATTACCTGAAGTGATGGAGAAATGAGTGGGCTCCTTTATTGTCTCATGTCTGGCTGAGTCTTGTCCACCGCTGTAGCTTCCTCTCTGACCACCACTGTTGGAGCTCACGGAAGGGTGCACTTGGCCATTCTTTTGGCACCCGGCCCCCCAGCCCATGCAGTGGAATATGTACCGCTTGTTACTGCTGTCTGCACCATTCATCATCACAACTTGAAGAATGAAAACATGAAGGATGAAACCTGGAATAAAGTGTTACAATAATTATAATAATTTTTGTATGATAACAGCTGTATTAAAGGTAAATTATCTGGTTGATTTTTTTGTGATTACAATTAGTCACCAATTATAGTTGTTGTATCATGGTACCCAGAATTCATACGCACACACACACGCATGCACATGCACACACACACACACACACACACACACACACACACACACAGGTGCTCGTGTATACAACGGTAAGGTGTGTACAATGGGGTTGGGAATCAGGTATACAGGATCCGGTAACTTTTCTAAAACCAAAACTTTGTTATCAGTTTTCATGTTTTCATGTACAGATGCTTCTGCAGAACACAGAATCTTATATTTCTGAGCACATCTTCTTGGCTGTGTGGGCTCTGGTGAACATTATATCATAACTCTTACTGTTCTGCCTACATTCTCTCTCTGATACTCATACTGCAATACTGCTCTGAAACTTATCTGTTAGTTTCTTTTATAATGTTTTTTTTTCTTTCTTTTTTTTTAGTATTCAATTACATAAACATATCACGTGGAATTTGTCTTCCATTGTTTTTAGATTTGGCTCATTAGATAACTCACACCAAATTATAGTGATTTGGGGCATTGTGCGTCAGCTTTGTGCGTCATCAACTTGTCTTTAAATTTGAGAAGATTAGCAAGTGATCCAACAGTAACCAACTTCATATTTATTGTGATTTTTAATATCTCATTAAAAAAATTCCTATACTTAATTGCAATAATTTCTTTGGCATGGATTTAAATACCCAAATCATGATTCTAAATACCCAAATCACTCAAATTACTGTGATGTGTAGGCTTTAAAATTTAGAAGTGAAAGGATTGATCACTGATGAGAGAGAACCTTGTTCTCGTTAGTACTTTTACTAATGTTCATTAAGTTGAAGAAAAGTTTTGAGATGACACAGTACAGGTGCTGACAATTCTTCCCTCATTAATAGAGCTGATGAAGTCTAGCCTATGTACAGGTGGAGTTAGCAGGGATACACTTTACCCCTGTAACCCCTCTCCCTATGCTATGGGCATGGTGCTTGATCTATTCTCAAAATGCTAAATACAGTTTTCTTTCTCATAAAATATGAAATAAGTTTTTAAAAAATAAGTATAGATATTTTTCATTGATTTCAAGCATTTAATGGGAAAATGTTTGAAGGACAAATGCAAAATCTACAAAATTGTTGGCATATTGCTATAATAGCTAAAGGTTGGGCCCTTGCACATGCACGCACGCACGCACGCACGCATGCACGCACACACACACACACACACTTATGATAATGGTAATAATGGATTTTTACTGAAAATTTCCACAAATGAGATCATTTCAGATTCCATAAAGACCAAACAAATTGTAAAGCAGACTTATATCATATATCAAGGATACCAGCATATGGCAATAAAACATTTATTAGTACCTTAGATTAAATGAGAATTACTTGATACCCAATTTATGCTGTCCAAATGTCCAGTAGTAGCCAATGAACTCAAGAAGCTGTAGCTTCAGATTTTTTTTGTCTGATATTCTGCCTTTGATTACATTGTAAGTATTTGTAAATAATAACTACATCATCAACAACAAGAAACAACAAAATTGTTTCAGCTTCCCTGGAATGCCTTCACTTTAAAGGAGTGTAAAATAAGAAAGGTACAGGATTGGAAACCAATCAAAGTTTAATTTTACAGTAGCTGAATATTGAATAATAATAAAAAAAACTTGAAACATCTTTCAAGTTTTTTTTATTGAATAATAATAAAAAAAACTTGAAAGATGTTTTTTATTTTGCTTTGTTTGACATTCCCACTTTCATTGAATTTTGTTAATATATAAATATATATGTCTATGGACAATTTATAGTTCAGTACGCCTTTATTTTTCGTAAACAACCTGTTTTTATTCAAGACTTATCAAAAATCTTAAAATCTTACAATAATTTAAATTGAACATAATAAATAAAATGAAAAAAAAGTTTAAATAAAGTAAATTATTCAGATAAATATTGAGTAATGGTAAGAAAATAAAGTGCTGTCAAACACTCACCTGATATGTGTGGATACATCGTGGCTGAGAATCTCGGAATCTTATGAGATTGGTGTATGTTCTGATCTCCTTATAAACTCTTGTGTGTAATTAATTTCTAACTGGGAGACCATTTATATAGAAAGCCTAGTGGCTGCTAGGCCAGGAGCCTGTATTTGCAAGAAGCTATGCTTGTATTTAATTGCTAACAGCGAGCACTCCCTATGAATATTTCTTTGAAGAAAAAAACAAGAGAAAGATAAATAAATAAATAAATACATTTATGTAAGTAAACTTATAAGTAAACTTCAAGATTGATGACAGTTGAACAAAGAATATCATTGACTAAGGTTTGGTTTTCAACAGTTTTACTATGATAAGACAAATATCCTACAGTACTACGTGTGCCATAAAACTTACTAGACAGACTGTGAAATCAGGAAATTATAGTTTTCACCTGATCTTCCCAAACACCACCTAGTGCGAGGAAAATAAAAAAAAAAGGCTGAACCTTTGAATAGAAGGAATTATGGAGAAAGGCTAGGCAGCACCCATATCACAAAGGCTTAGGATATGTGCATGTGTCCATGTAACGTTGGTAACAAAGACGTAAACTAGGGAACTGACTTAAGATATTGTGTGGAACTGGAGCAAAGGCACATTGTTGAGAAAAAAGTGGTTATATGAAATGGAAATATATACTGTTACAATAAATGAGTAAAAGCACTAGACTGAAGTAGAATTCTTATGTTGAAGGTTGGACTGTGGTTTGGCTTTTTTTAATGGGGAAATTCTTACAAAGTCTAGAATCAGTGTGTAGTAACTGAAGTTGAATTGAGCTAAAGAAAACGAGTATAAAAAAGAGGCAATTAAAATCATTGTTCTTTCACTTCTTTGTATTACTGTACAATTGATCAGATAATGCAGCAGGCACTGAATTGATGACTTAAGATGATGCTGGACACCTAGGATGCCCCAAATAAAAGGTCAATAAGTTACAGCAGAGTGAAAAACAACTTGATCATTATATGATGAATTGTTTCTTTTTGAGGCTGTATTATTTTCATGACATGTCAAAGGCCAAGTTAAGTTGTCAGAGATGCTGTGATTGATAAACATGTTTGAGTCCTTTTTATTTTCTTAAAGGAAAGGTTGTTTAGTTAGCTTCATGCAATTGTTTAAGGATAAAATTGACGTAGATGGTATAGATTTAAATGTCAGTGTCACTCAAGATCATCACATAATTGTGGTCATTTTGTTAAGTTAGCCTCATGTAATTGTAGAATGAAAAATTTTGACGTAGATGGAATAGATTGAAATGTCAGTGTCCCCCAAGACCATCACATTTTTGTTGTCTGATTGATATGTTTCCTTTTTTCTGATTGGCCAAAAAATAGGCTATGATGTCATCGGTCAATAGTGCGTTTTATCAGATCTCAAATTCATGTGTAGAAGGCCATTATAATCTATAATCTATAATAATTGTATGAGAATATGGGTTTTAATGAGGGTGATATCTTATCTGTAGTTCCTAAGGTTAAAATATGACTTGTCTACCATCCAAATACTATGGCACATACTTGTACCATGAACATTTCCAGGACTGGTTTCCCAAAAGAACTACAGGCTGAAAGATGGTCTTCAACTTTTCAAATGTACAGTAATTGATTAAAACAGAAAAACTATTGGTCTTGCAAAATGGTAGCCATTACTTTTGTGTAATAAAACAGGCACGGTATTTTAAGCGAAGGACTACTGATCAATCTTGGATCTTAATTGACTATATAGATTTTTTTTTTATCTCAAAGTTAAAACTAACTAATGGGTTAAAGTTCTTTTGTGAAAAAGTTCCCTGGGTTTGGTGAGAAACGCAGCTATGTCCATGATCAGGGTCGAAGTGACTGTGAATTATTATTTCCTTCCCTTTCTTTGACATATTGTTCAATAAAAGGAATCACAGCAGAGTTAGTCATTCTGCCAAGAAAGATTCTCAAGTAACAATTTTTTGTCAGTGAAGGTTATTGATAGTGTCCGACATGCTGGCCGTTGACAGCGCCATTGTAGATTGCAGCAGAAATTTATTTTAACTGAAATGATATTCCTATTCTTCATAGAGCTTGTGGTTTTGAAAGTATTCCTATGAAAGATATTACTCGTAACTTAAACTCTGAAGCAGTAATTTAAGCATTAAATCAGAGAGGAAATGCATCCTGGAGGTAGTTTGTTGAGGAAAGAAAAATCTGTTTGTCTTGAAAGCAAATATCGAATTTTCCCCCCACCCCCACATAGAAAGTCTGCCAAGCTTGCATTTTCTTTCAATTATACTTGGTATTACACATGAGTACGATTTTTTTTCTTGCCCACAGATTATATAATTGAAAAGATTAGTATCTTTGTGTTGTTTCCAGCTTTTTATATTAAAATATAAAGGAGTGCTGTATGAGAGACCATTCCCACAGATATTTAGATCAATCTATCCCCCTGGGGAGTCTCACTAGAGTGCTGTCAGCTTAACCAGCTTAAATGTCTGTCCTGGCTACTACAAGCTGTAAGGGGGTAATTAAACGCGCTTGGCTCTCGGAAGCTGACAGCAATTTAGCTTGAACCCCCAGGGAGTTAGGTTGATCCAGATGGATCGATCTAAATCTGTGGGAACCCAGTCTTAGACATTGAAACTATTGCACTAGGTAGTCTAAACCTACTAGTTCCAACTAATTCTACATTGATTAGAATTCAGAAAAGCTGGTTATTATAGGAGTATGTTAGAAACAAGAGGCGATTTGTTAAAGCTATAAATCTGATTACATTCCTCAAGAGTCCTTGTGGAGTTCGCTTGAACCACCTTGTACGATAGTTTCACTGTAAACACACCCTAAAACATTCAACTGAGGGCAGAGGGTTGGCATCAAATAGCCATGGCTAACAAAGCTTATGAGTTATATTACTTGAATGTACATGAGTATTTGAAACGGGTATTTAATAAACTGAACTAGAAAAAAAAAGAGGTTTCTAAATTTGCAAAACTGGGCCCTGGAATTTTGAATTTATAAACTACATATTATGCAAGCAGAGCAAATTTTTCTGCAGCATAGAGTTTGCTGAAAAGATAGCTTTAATTACACTAGACAACTGTTATAAATGGATTCCTCTTTATTTAGACCCTCATCTCTTTCTGCTTTTCTGACCTTTGGAGGCAGGGTTTACCAGGCAGAGCATGGGTAATCAAGTGTCTACTGCCTGCGGTAAAAACTAAAAAAAAAAATCCCGCTAAAACCTGAGTGTGTTTGTGCCTCCCTGTTTTGTGTGGGTATTTAGAGGAAGGTGTAGGAGAGCTGAACCAGAGATAACATTCACATGATGGGAGGTTAATCAATAAAAGGCACATTTATATGTAACCAATGCCTTGGTCATCACTTTTTATCAGGCTTGGAGTGATCAACACATTTTTTCTGTGGGAAGCCGGGAAGAGATGGGGGTGATGATAAAATGTATTGCTTTTGTTTCAGTCAAGCAAGATTATGCTCATTTAAAGAAAATGGCAAGATTTTCTCATTAGATTAATTACAAAAAAGAAAACAAAAAACATGGCCTTGTTCTTGGGCAGAATCATAAACATTTATTTACTAAATCAAACTTTTTTGGGGATTCTTTTTGTGGATTATTGGCATGTCTCAAAAAATAAAAAGTTTTCTTATTTTCCTGAAAGCACAAGTCATTAAGATGTCCAGCTTGACTGTCTTTCTTTCTAATTACTGCATTTCACTTTTCCAGGAAAATACGTGGGAAACCGTCCTATTAAGTTAAGGAAATCCAATTGGAAGGACAGAAGTATAGATGTGGTGAAGAGGAAAGAAAGAGAAAAGAAACGCTTGGGTCTAAGATGACCCAAAACTAAAAGTGTGTGACTCTCAAACTCATTCAGTCCTTTATTTGCAATGGCATGTAGACTGAATTCTGACATGTTTCACGTCAGAGGATGATGTAAAAGGTAACAAATCAAGGCACTTTTTGTTAATGATGAAACCATGAATTAAAATATTTGACCTTGCAATAATTGTGGAACTAATGATCTAGATAGTTACTGACGTCATTTGTGGTCTGAAATTCAAGATGTAACTTTTTCTTAATTTGGAGAGTGTAATGATGCCAGCATATAGAGTTAGTAGGATGCAAGGCGAATGAATTTGCAGATAAAAAGACAATTAATTACAACAGGCAGACACAAAAGCTGGTTTAATGGGAAGATCTTGTTTTGAAAACCAGTTGATGGAAAACACATTAATGCTATTTATTTTAAAATATGTATAGTGAACATAAAAAGAAACTTGTCGTAACTTACAATTCTATCATATATCATCCTCTTTGGCATCATTCTAAAAGTAAAATTACATATAAACAATGTTTACGAATCTTTCATTGATGATAAAGAACAATAAACAATACATGGTTTTAATGAGATGAAAGAAATCCTGACAAAATCACTGAACAGTTTTGTAACACAGCAATTTAACCAAGGAGATTCCCAAAAAATCGAAACTGGCTAAAACAGTATTCCGTTTATTCAGACATTTTGACCACAGGTCAGTATCTTGTGTGTCCTCCCTGCACTTGGAGACATGCTGTGCACTTTCTCTGCTTGCTCTCAACCAGCTTTATGATCAATGCAGTATTGAGGGATCCTGTTCCACTCCTCCTGTTCCACTCCTCCTGCAGGACTTCTTGGGCCACATTAGGGCCATTCAGAATGAGAGATCCAAGTTTCAACTGGTCCAAGGCACAAATATGGCAGACCCTACATGAAAGGAAGACCGCTTAATCCTGTAATGGTCTCTCCGCCTCTCACACACCTCCCCATGCGCCTGGTCCAATTGAGCTGAGATTTAATTACTGTGCCCCTGCAGGAACACATTCACACCATGAGACTGAAGGAAGTCAACAAGAACATTTATAAAGTATATTGTTAAGATTCTTTTGATGCTCAGTATAGTAGAGAATGCAGATCTCTATACAGTCAAAATGTGAATGATGATAGAATAAATAAAAAATTTTGAAAATACTAGGAGACATATACAGTTGTAATTGTAAGCACTCCTTTCCCTCCAGAATAACTGTCCTGAAAATTTCATTAAAATTTGTGAAGAACTTCCCCATGATATCTTGTCCATTAACAATCAAACCAAAGTTGATGAAAACATTGCCCTCTTTGGTGGAGGTAGGGAAATGTATGTTTACATATTTATGCAGAACTGCTTGCCTGCTGTTACAGAACAGATTCAGCACATCCACACTGCACTATGCCATTGATTGCATTGCCTCAAGCAGACACCACTTATGGGTGGGGAAAGAAGCGTAACGTCATTCTGGGGGCTGGGAAAGATTTGCTTAACAGGTCTCCTTTTTATTTGCAGATTGCTGCACTTATCTCAGTGGGGGACTATTTTTCAGTACACTCTGTGCTTTGACCCTGCAGGTTGTAGTTCAGTTCATTTTGCCTCATAGCACAGCACATACTGGGGGGTAGTTGCAAACATATGGAAATTGAAATGTGGGAAAAATTATTGGAACTTCCAAACCCAGGTTTTGTGGGACTTTACATCTCTCTCTGTCTCTTTCTTATAGGGAAGTAAGAGAAGGGGGTTACGAAAATGACTTTCATTCTGTTTAGAGGGAGATAATATGGGCGCGTCTTAATTCAGGAGAGGCTGAAGTAGGCAACTACCGGTAAACACATTTATTAAACAGATCACGGATCCTTGGTTATACAAACAATAACATAGTCATGTTAACATATTGGCGAATGGACATCATAAGGACATACAAAAATACATTAAAAATACAATGATAAAAATTCTACTTCTAATCAGTGAAAAAAAGCTATAATTGTAATCATGTCTAACTTACATCTGATCACGTGTGAGACCAGGCACAATAAATATCAAAATAATTATAATCGTGCAATGCAATTATGTAAAAGAATCAACCATTTTCCCCAATTTAAAACTACAATCTCACTAAACTCAACATTATATTTTCAAATCCTCGTTACCTAGTGTTTCTGAAATGAGTAGGGCATGTTGCAATCTATATTATATCTATATCTACTATATCTATTCCTACCTCTTGCTACCTAGTGTTTCTGAAATGAGTAGGGTACGCTGCAATGTATATTATTTTAACTCTGCAAAGGTCTTTTCCATATCTATTCCTAACTCTTCCTGAAATGCATATTACTTCATTTTTAACTAAAACATTCATGCTTTACATTTCTATATCTTGCAAGTTAACTTGCTATTCTAAGAAGAGGAAAATTGTGTTACCTCAAGTACAGAATTTGAGAGATATGATCTTGCTTCAGTACTTTGTTCCGGGACTCATTATCTTTGGACACTAAGGCAAAGTGGACCAAATCACATCACAATCGCAGGCAATTTCACATCAAAAAAGTCTTTATTTAAAGGGTTTGACCATTTTAATGTCTGGATTGTGAAAGATAGGTAGGCGAAGCTTTGCATGATATTTAGATCTAAAAATATGAATGGGACTGTTCAAATGTGTTCAGGACACCCTAAAACTACTAGTAATTAACTCAGGACTGAAGTTATAGAAATGCCACTTGCATCTAACTGCAAATACTGAGCTTACAAAATGGAACATTGTTACAGTAACTCATAAAACTACCAGGAAAGACGCAAGTTTGTGCTAAGTTTTCAACTAATCTAGTGCCCACAGACAAAAGGCACCAAAGTCCTTTAACAATTTTTCTACAGCGAAAAAGAAACATTGGAGGTAGCACAAAGATGCTGTCTTCTTTCAGAAAACTTCAACAATACTTTTATCCTGTAAAATGTTACGTTAAAATGTTACATTAAATTTATCTATCTGATATATTTGCAAACAAAACAAGCTTTCATTTTAACTCTCTTTCTTGGTGCCATTAGAATCCATTTTTCCATTACTTGCACCCTTCTTCTCCAGTCTGAGGATGTCGTAGAGGGGTCCTTCATTTGACCATGCGCTTGGCACACGGAACGATCCTCCAAGACGATCCCACAGTGTGAAAAACTGCCCATAGTTGTAATTATACAAAACATGATGATCCATATGATGTGCCGAACCGTTCACAAACGGCTTCATCTTCTCTGGGACACGAAAGTCACCATCGTGAATTGACACCGTCCATATATTTACAAAAACAAATAAAATCAGATACAAAATTTTATGCAGGGGGAACAGGAATGGGTAGATGTGGTACGGGCAGCTCTGTAGAAAGCCGTCTGCAGGGTGAAAGGCGTGGCTGGCGTACGGTGTGGGGACTTTCCAGCGATGATGATCTTTGTGAATATATTTGTAGACTAGACGGTGGTGAAGGAAGCGATGTATCCAGTAGATGCACATGTCTGTGAAGAGGATGAATGTCACAACACTGCCTAGTAAGTAGAACCAACCTGGAGAGAAAATCATAGTTGTTCTCATTTTTATCATATTTCATATTTATTCATAGCACCCTCAACTTTAGTTCTGATGAATGCCAACTTCTTCAATTTAATTTCAAATCCCACACATGGCCCAAGGAGGAGAGAATGTCTACAAACCAGTCTGAATCCAGGCCATAAACTTTCCAGCCAAATCAGGAATGAGACTGCCATTTAGTAAAAAAAAAAAAAAAGTTGGAAAATATTTGGGTCCAGGGGCCTGGTTGGCCAATGATATTTTTGGCTCCCAAAAAGTTGAAAATCTGCGGATAGTTTGAAAAATTTCATCCCTGTTAATGTAAACTGAAACTGAGACACATGTGGAGGGCAGTTTATAAGAACCAATTTTTTTTTCACGCCAGCTTATGGTCTCATTTAGGAGGAGATTTGAAAATGAGAAAGCTGACACACATCAAATATCTGGAGCTCAGGGTAATTTGATTTGAAAATAACCTGAAACTATATCAGACATGAAGGATTCTGAAGATACTGGTTTACTACAAAAATAAGCAGATATGGAAAAATTCTATCTCACATTCAATAATGTAGACTATAATTTTGCAAAAGCACTTTTTTTCTTAAATCTGAAGCCTATAAAAATACTGAAAGACAGAGTCTGAATAATATAAGACTTTAAAAAATAAGTTTACAAATTTTGTTTTTAAACATAAAAATACTTTTAATGCAATTTCCATTTTGGAAAATGGTGGTGTTTTAAACAAACAAAAAAAATTTAATATCATAACTTCTGTTCTTAGGTAAATGGAAAGAAGGCTTAAATCTACCTAATTTCATGTCTTCCACATTGTCATACAACCTGGAATACCCCTGTAGCTCCAGGAAAAAAATGGAGCACGTCGGCAGACTCATGTAAGGGATGGAGCCCAGCGCATACTTGATTTCCTTCCATACTTGATTCTGAAGAGAAAAACACAACTTAGTTTATAATTCAAACATGCACTCTCAACACTTCTGCTTACTCAAACAATTAAGTAATTTAGCTCAAAAGCTGACTTATTTGAGTAAAATCCGACTTTTAAGCAACTGTTACAGTGTGCCTATTAAATATTAAACTTGGACACATTTCTTATGACGACTAAACTGGTACCACATCAAACAAACACATTAAGCACAATCCAATGTCACATTTAACACAATGTGTTTGAGGTCTCTACCCAAGCCGATTGCACGTTAGACCCCATTCCCACCGATATTTAGATCGATCTATCCCCCTGGGGAGTCTCACTAGAGTGCTGTCAGCTTCACCAGCTTAAATGTCTGTCCCGCCTGCTAAAAGCTGTAAGGTGGTAATTAACTTTTGTGAACGCTCGGCTCCCGGAAGCTGACAGCAATTTTGCGTGAACCCCCAGGGAGTTTGGTCGATCCAGATGGATCGATCTAAATCTGTGGGAACCCAGTCATAGAGATAACTTAGTATTTATATTGCCACTGGGGTATTGATATTGCCACTGAACATATGAATTGATTAATCTGTGATTTTTTTTTCTCAAGTTGTAATTAAAATAAAAAAATAAAAAGATGAAAATTTTGAGAGACCATTTCCAATTTAGCCGTTTATTGAAGATTTGCACAGATGTTCTCCCGAGTTTCAACCTACTAATCCACCAATTACTAGTAATCACATTTGGAAATAAGGTCTCCGTGTCTCACTCCAGTTAAGTGGACAACCACATTTGTCTTCTAAGCAAATTTAATCTTTTGGAATTGTTCAAGTTTTAACTTTATTAAAAAACCTCTGCAAATATTCCTGAAGTCCATACCTCCAATATTTGAGGATGTTTCAAAAGCCGGTGGTCATAAATAAAATAATAGCTCAGAGAGGCTGGGATTATGTAGATGAGGAGCCCTCCAATGTTGACCACAAGAAGAAGACTTATTATCTGACGCAAGGGGTCATCTCTTGCCCACCCTGTGGGGTAGACACTGTCCAGTACAAAGCGGTCAGCCACATCAAGGACAAGATCCATATTGCTTATCTGGAATAAAGAGGAAATAAAATGATTTTTATAAAAAAATATACTAGTATGCACATGCTTTCATCTTTTACCTAACAAAGCCACTCAAGAAAATTAGACAAAAACAAAGATACGGCCGGGAAATCATGGGTGAAAAAATGTTTGGGCCGAAGACCTCGACGATATTCTATATTGCCAGACACACTGACCTGCAATTGAACTTAAATCTATAAAAAAAAATAAATATAAACATACCTGGTGCTTGTTCACGGTTCTGTCAGTTAACGGAATTTGGCTGGCCTAGTTGGTTTTGCTATTTCTTTTGGTTTCCTTATCGTCTGGTAGATTTCTTAACTCAAACAACAATGAAATTTCTACCTGACACTTTTGACGGACCGACCACTGTGCAGCCAGACATCAGCTCATGGTGGCGTGATGGACATGACGTCACACCCGGAAGTAAACAAAGATCTGCGCAGATCCAAACACGCAGGAGGAAGTCAGACCAAAGTGCAGAACCCCAAACATGTCTTCGACCATAACAATCCCTCGGCGCCTGCCGCTGCTTGTTGTTGCCGATAGTGTACTGTTGCCAGGGTCTTCTATGAGAATTCCTGTGCATTCCTTACGCAAGTAAGGTTATTTAAATGTTTTTACAAGTTTTTACATGGGTAAAATACGTGTAAAGTTACTTATTGTTCCCAAAACGAAAGTTGGCAGAACCGATCTTTCTAGATTTGGCATTATGTAGATACGTCACAGTCTCAGGGTTTGGAAAAGTAAAGTTAAGGTGTCCGAATTTTTTCAAGACGTAAATTTTGCCGGCGTGCATTAATTTTCAAAATTATCGTAATTAAAAGAAGCAATGGTGTGCTACCATGCATGATCATGGCTTATTTTTCTTCATATGTGAAGTTACATAAATTTGATCCTTTTAGACGTGGACGTTTAAATTGCAGTAGGGAGGCTGTGCATACATGTTTTATTACAGGTTGCAAATATCATTTCCATGTTACACAACAATTGCCTATAGTAAATATATTTATTATCAATTTTTTTAAATACTTTCTATGGAAATCAAAGGGTTACTAGATGTAAATAAATAAAAATATAACTTTTCTTCCTGTCCGAAGTCCCCTTACGTGTTTCTGGTGTACATTTATAATTTTCTTAATGTAAAAGCAAATAGCTAGGGTAAGAAACTGGGAGTCACAGTACAATTTTTTGTGATTTCTAGTCTGAACATTGTGATTTTTCGTGTTTAATTTTTTTTTTTTTTTTTGAATGCCTAATGCCTGGGTCATAAAAAGGGAGTTAGAGTAAATGTATCTTATATTCCAGTCTGAACATAGTGAAGAGCCGTCTGCTATCCAGAAACACACTGAGCAGTACCATCATAGGAGTGATGCCCAGAGAACCTGGAGAGAGTGTAAGACCCCATTTCCAGATATTAGATTGATCTACTTTAGATCGACCTAACTCCCTGGGGGAGCTGGAGCTGTCAGCTGAGCGGACATGAAAGTTAATTACCCCCTTACAGCTTGTAGTAGGCGGGACGGACATTTAAGCCGGATTATCTGACAGTAATCTAGTGAGACTCCCCGGGGTCCCGTGGGGATAGATCGATCTAAAAGCTCTGGGAATACAGCCTAAGTCTCTGCACCTTCATTTTATTCTTGTAATGACATGTACTATTGTGTTCATTAAGTGTCATATTTAGTAGTGTGTGCCAATGCACTGTTGTCCAGTTGTATTTCAAGTGTACATGTATATGTACATATATTTTGTTAATGTACTGTATTTAAAGTTGAAATTATTGTGTCAGCTGCATTGATAAGCACCACAAAGAAATTTTAGTTCTACTTCTGCCACTTCTACTACTACCACTACTACTACTACTACTACTACAACTACTATAACTACTGCTCCTACTTCTACTACTGCTACTTACTACTACTACAATTATAAGTCAAAAGTTTATACCCACAGAAAGATGACTTGGCCACCATACACCCTGTGGGCACTGCGGCAGTAGTGGTCCAAGTCACAGGAACCAACTGGCCCAAGCCTTCCTATACCCTGCTGGTCACTGGATTGTGCAGGTAGGTCCTCATCCCCCAACCCCCACCCCCACCTCCATTCCCCTTTGATATGCAATCCACTTTCGTGTTATTGAAAATAGCAAAGTAATATTCAGTTGTAGCATCTGCTTGAGATTAATTTCAGTGTGTTGCTTTGAGGGGGTACAGTTAATATTTCATTTTTTTTTTCACTCCACTACATCAAATTTAATCAATATTACAGTATGATTGATATGATAAGTTGATAAATGTCAAAAGAAATTTACATGTAGTTGAAACCATTGTTAGTTTACGCTCTCTCTCTTCTAGGTTTCGACTGGAAGAGTTGCTGCAGGAGACCCCCTACCCCATAGGCAAAGTGACACAACTTGACAAATTACCAGGAGAGCAGGGAGGTAGGGTCAACAAAGGAAGAAAAAAGGATAGTTTTTTGATTGTTGTTTTACTAATAAAGTTGAAGAAATAAGAAAGTCTGGTCTCCATGCTGTTGACTCTTCCAATGTGTGCACGTGCATATACAGAAAGCTCTAGCAAATGCTTTCAGTCACATATATTACTTTTATTACTTTAGATGAAGATGTAATGAAGAACAGTGAGCTGCAAGTGCTGGCCCAGGACTTCAGGGACCAAGCGGCCAAACTAGTGACCATGCTGGACATCTCCATACCCATTGTGGCCAAACTTAGAGTAAGGGCCCATTCCCAATGGAACTGTCATTCTACATAAATTGCTCAAACTCCGCGATTATTCTGGTAGAGTAAATTTTGGCAACCAGATGTTGTCACTTAATTGGGCAAACTTTAATCTTTGTGACACCAAAAATTTCACAAAAATAATCAATGTGCATTTTGATGTGCATTTTAGATTACTGGATCAAGGATTTTATAAAATTTTTAGACAATGCTTACTTTGATGAGACTTACAATTATCTTTTTGTAGAGAATGTTGGACAACCTTCCCAGCCATCACCTGCCTGATATATGTGCTTCCATTGTGAAGGCATCCTACTCAGAGAAAGTCCAAGTACTGGATGCTGTGGACTTGACAGAGAGGTTTAAAAAGACTTTACCTCTACTGATGAGGCAGATAGAGGTAAACTTTTTTGTTTCTAAGCTTACTCCTTTATGCCCCATTCAAAAGTTAATTGGATCTGTGAACAGTTATGATGAAAAATCTTCATGCTAATTAAATCCATAGTTATTTAGAATCCTGATGAAAGTTTCAGTTGTAGGTTAGTCTAGAAGAGACATAGAGGAAACTGCCAACAGGATTATAATAAAGTATGAACTTGCATTAAAATAGGTTTTTGTTGTCTCCATTGTAGACCATTTTAAAAGAGTTAAAATGTGTTTATTTGTCAAGCTCGGATGATGTATTGTGGAACTTCCTCTTTTTACAAGATACCACTGAAGGCATTTGACTTTGTCTTATTTCAGGGTTTGCAGCTCCTTCAAAAGGCCAAGAAAAACAACATGGAGCTTGTCACCCGAAAGTCTCCACTGAAATCTTCGGCACTCAAGAAAGCTTTTAAGCTTGGAGATGGGGACGATGATGATGACAATGAGGCTGACGATTTGGAAGATTTACAGCAAAAAATTAGGTAGATACACAGACATTTCATGTATGTACGGTATTTTTTCAATCAACATTATTAGCATCAATTTTGTTTCCAAATAGCATTTTCAATGTTTCAACACTGTTCTGCTCACTCAGAAGTGTTCAGAATTTTATTGATTTTTTATATTAAAAATTCAAAATGTTGTAGGCTTTAGATTTGAGGTTTGGTTGAAAAGATACTGGGATAATGTGGTTCAGATTAGGATTCTACCCTCATTCTCAGATGATTGTTTTTCACTAGGGCTGCTAACATGCCTGACCAGCCACTGAAGGCAGCGATGAAAGAATTGAAGAGGTTGAAGAAGATGCCACAACAAATGCCTGAACATGCCATGATCAGGTGATTGTCACCACATATTTTCTGTCGCGGTTAATTAAATGTTGAAGCTTGTACATTTGAGACATTCTAACAGTTATTTTGACTGGGATAAATTACTAGGCTTTTGTAAGATTCTAATTTCTCATTTTCCTTAGGCAATTTTTAAAGCCTCAATATAAAAACTACTTTAGAAATGTGAAATTATTGGATCTCTTTATCCAGAATGAAAATGAGACTTTTTGTAGCTTAAGATAAAATTATCTCATTTAAGAGAAAACATTTCTGGGAACATTGTATCAAATGACCTCCTCCATTACAGGAACTATTTAGAGCTGATGGTAGAATTGCCATGGTCTAAATCCAGTGTAGACTCCTTGGATATTATACAAGCAAGGTAGGGGGAAAAGACTGTTGTTTTGTCAGATAGTTCATGTTTATGTGCAAAAGATAAGTACAAAATTATGTGTGTGGAGTTGGTCTTTCTTGTATAATGATGAAAATAAAGTGAATTGTTCCTAACATTGAGGAGGCAGACATGTGGTCAAGACCCTGTGATGAAGGGTTGAAGCATCATGCCTCATAGGTAGGAAACATGTTTAATTAGTCATTTACTCAAATACAACTGGAATACGCCTATAAAAAGGCAATTATAGGTGTCATGATGTCAAATCTGACAAGAAATCTGCGAAATCATAAAAATTAAGAAATGATAGTTTTTATAGTGATGGCAATATCTTGATATATTGATTTGTGGTCAAATAATACGTATAAAATAGTATTATTGTTACATGTCCATTGGCATGCATAGTTCATTCTATTACAGGAAAGATTTAGATGAGGATCACTATGGGCTAGAGAAACTGAAGAAGAGGATACTAGAATACCTGGCTGTTCGGCAGTTAAAAAACACCTTAAAGGGCCCCATCTTGTGCTTTGTTGGCCCCCCGGGGGTGGGGAAGACCAGTGTGGGAAGATCTGTGGCTAGAACACTGGGGAGAGAGTTCCACAGGTTAGTGGGTGGCAGTTGAACTATTGATATCATTTTTTCATTGTAATTGTTTTGATAAATTGTGTATTGCATCTCTCAGTAAACTTTGGTAAGTCAACTAGCTAAGTGTAGTCGACTAGGGATCTTAGATTCTTTGTGAAACAGGGGCCAGGCCTAAAAGATGCAGGTCTATGAACACTGAGAAATGCAAACTTTTAGAAAAAAATTCCCAAGAGCTAAGAAAACTTGCAGAGGACAAGGCACAGCAAACTCAACTCGGATTGTGGATGTTTCTGCTACTACTGCTGTAACAACAGAACAGTCTACATCATCATCATCATCATCATATTTTTATGATTATCTTACTGTTATTATTGAACGAAATGGATTTTATCCATTTTTTAATTGTGAAAAATCATTATAGTGATATTAATTCCAGGATCGCCCTAGGTGGCGTGTGTGACCAGTCTGATATTCGGGGTCACAGGAGGACCTACATAGGCTCTATGCCAGGCAGGGTGGTACAGGGACTCAAACTGGTGGGAACAAATAACCCAGTCTTCTTGCTGGATGAAATTGATAAACTGGTATGGACTGTTTGATACATTTTTAAACATTTTTAAGACTTTAAGAGATTGCACTAGACTGAAAAATAAATAAATAAATAAATAAATAAATGAAATAAATAGAATGAAATTTTTTAATTACTTAGCATGATCAGACTTGTGGATTTTTTTTTGTAGTTGTTTTAGATTACTTTTCTATTATCTATAAATTTCAATCTACTGATCTGCCAAATGTACTGATCGAAAGCAGAACAGTGGCCATTCACAGTTAAGCCATGCTGTATTTGCTTTTTTTTCTAGGGTAAAAGTCTCCATGGGGACCCTGCTGCAGCTTTGCTTGAAGTACTGGACCCAGAACAGAATAATACTTTCACAGACCAGTATCCTTTCTATTGCTTTGTCTTTTATAAAGTTTTATCTTTACATATGAGGATTAAATAGATTAAAAATCTAAAAGAGATGTGGTACGCTAAGGAAATTGTAACAAAGAAATGAATGACATTGGATTATTGCTGAGAGTATATCAAGTAATACTAAGTTTATGAGATGATAAGATAACTGACATATATACTTCCAATATAAGTAAATTGACATTTTTATCACTTGAATGTTGATATTGTGTACTTAATTGCAAAAAGTAAATAAATAAATAATTTAAAAAATAGACAAATAATTACCTTGACCAATTAACAGCTATCTAAATGTTCCATTTGACCTGTCTCAGGTGTTGTTTATAGCAACGGCCAATGACACGGCCACAATACCTCCAGCCCTGATGGATAGAATGGAGATGATTTATATCCCAGGTAAACCCAGTGTTTCTTTATAGACTGGTACCTTTTTAATTGAAATCTCTATGAGAAAGTTGTAAATAGTACATCACAATTTATGGTGTGCCCTGGCATTCTTGATAAATTTTATATTGATATATATCCCAGGTTGGTTCTTTGACTACTTGCACAAAGTTAAAAGAAAAAGCTAGAGGAAGTATGTGGTATTGAGATTTAACAAAGTTATCAATAACTGTTGTACTACCATAGGTTACACTCAGGAAGAGAAACTACAGATAGCCACTGGTCATCTCATAAAGAAACAGTTATCTGAGCACGGCTTGACCGAGGAACAACTGCAGATTCCAGAGGACACAATTCTGGCCATAAGTAAGTACTGACATATTAGGTTTATTGAGTATCAGGGGCAGTTTATGTTGTAGATATTATAGTGGCATATCATAATATCGAGCTGCTGATAAGAATAAATGTGGAAGATACAAAGGGTGTGGATATGAGATATGTGACATACTGTCTGTGATATTGAATTTAAGGAGGAATTCCAATTTCTATGTTTCCCCAAATAATGTGTGTTAATGTGTTAAGATGCTTCAAATAAGTTTACACGTGTGTGTGTATGTGCTCATGCATATATGCACATACTCTTAAAGCAAAATGTCTGGTTCCCAGTTTCCAGGTACACGCGTGAGGCAGGTGTGAGGTCGCTGGAAAGGAAGCTCGCTGCCGTGTGCAGGGCCATAGCGGTCAGGGTGGCAGAGCACAGCAGTGCCAAGAAAGAACTCAAATCTGTTGCCATACACCCCGAAGCTGAAGGGAAAGTATTAGACCACAGCACTGTGCCAGGGCAGAGATCCAGTGTGCACCCTGAATCCCGAGGCCAGGTGGTTGATGTTGATGTCCCAGAGACACATAATGTTGGATATCTGACCCACCCTCTGGAGATGCCAATTTTCATTGATAAAGCATTACTGGAGGAGATATTAGGGGTAAGGGTTTCTGTGGAAATATGAAAAAAAAAAAATCTGGAGCATTGAAAAGTGGGCAAGAGGTGCAATGTACACTATGTGATCTAGTGTAAAATATTTGTAAATTATAAAAAGATATTATAAATATTGGTAAATTATATAAATAGTTGTAAAATTTTGGTAAGATGTATGGTAAGACTTAATCATAGTTTTTTTTAGATGTGTTTAATGAAAAAAATACATTATTGATCTGTATGAAAATGAAGTTTTTTAAAAAAAAAAGCAAGAAATATTTTAATTTAATTCTATATCCATACTTGAATATAACAGGCACCTCCCTTTGAGAGCGAGATGTCCCAGCGGCTGAGTCGCCCAGGGGTGGCAGTGGGGCTGGCGTGGACCCCCATGGGAGGGGAGATAATGTATGTGGAGGCGACTAGGATGGAGGGAGAGGGCAAACTGGTGCTGACTGGACAACTGGGGGGAGTCATGAAGGAGTCCGCTACCCTGGCGTTGAACTGGGTCAGGTCTAATGCACATCTGGTAAGGTTTGGTTAATGTATTGGTAAAAAAGGGGAGGGGAAGATTATTTTCCTCCTCCCTGTTTGTGGACTGCATCAGGTCTGCTAAAGTTTATCAGATTTTTATACCTCAAGTGTGGAGGGAACTGGAAAGTGACGAGCCCGGAGGTTATGATAGTCTTAATGTACAACATATTGTAGTTACAGTGCATTTCACATCGATAATAAAACTAAAAAAAATTATTTTAGATTCTAGAATTGTTTTTGGTTGTACATGTAAGTCAGCAAATGAATAATAAAGATAAACTAAAAATACAAAAGATATATATCATTTTTATTTCAGCTTGGCATTGAACAGGGCGGCAACTTGTTAGAGAATACAGATATCCACATCCACTTCCCGGCAGGTGCCGTGGGGAAAGATGGTCCCTCTGCAGGTGTCACCATCTCTTCTGTCCTAGTGTCCTTGTTCTGCGGCCGCTGTGTCAGGTCGGATACCGCCATGACAGGGGAGGTGACGCTCCGGGGTTTAGTGCTTCCAGTGAGTATTTAGTATCTAAAGGGCAATATTTAAAGGTTGGGTTTGAAGCCTGATATATATATATATATATATATATATATATATATATATATATATATATATATATATATATACACACACACACACACACACACAAGACAACATTGTTTTTCCTGCAAGCACTCTAGATTGCCACAAAGACTTCAGGACATAAACTGTTGGTTTACCTGAGCAATGACATTTAACTAAGAGAACCCACAGGTGACAAGGCGTCATCACAGTGTTATTAATATGTTTTGTAACCAGAAACAGATGAAAATTATACAGTCACTGTAAGGTATTTTGATCCTCTTCATTGTCAATTTACAGGTGGGAGGTATAAAAGAGAAAGTTTTGGCAGCCCACAGAGCGGGAATAACAAGAGTTTTGTTGCCAGAGAGGAACATGAAAGACTTGCATGAAATTCCTGCCAACGTCAGGGTGAGTTTTATCATAAAATGTTTGATTAGGAAGTGAATTCTTTATAATGAAGGAGAACGAGGAGGTTACAGATCATGATAATATAGTCGACAGTTTTTTTATGTACATAATAAAATGAAATTGAAAATCCTTTTTCTGGTCTATTTCAGAGCAAGTTGTCTATAATTTGGGTGAGCAAGATGGAACAGGTTCTGAACGCTGCATTTGAGGAACCTTTTCCTGGTCTCAGCTCGGATGACATTGTCCCTAGTAAACTTTGACCTCGGACACTAGTGGTGTGAAGGGTTTTATTGACGTTATAGTTTCTGACATCAGCAAAATGAACATATTATTATTATAAACAATCTATTTTACAAGGTCATGTGATTATATGGTGGATAGCAAGATCAGCTATGAACAGAATATAAATTGATGTAAAAATGTGAATTATGATATAAAATGTGTTGGTTATACGACAAAGTGAAAAGTATATTTCATGTGGCTTATGTTATGTTTTGTTTTGCTTGATTTTATTTGGTATAAAGCTCACAAAAAGTTATTTACAAATTTGTAATATGTTGGTTTGGCCTGAAGTAAAGAATGATTGTGAATACCAGTAACACTTGGGTTCCTACAGGTTAATAATATTTATTTAAATCATAAGATTTTGGTGGAAGATCATAGCTTAAGGACATAATATTGTTTGCTTAATTAACATAAAGAATTCCTGAAACGATTATTCAATTTTTAAAAGTTTTATTTAATGCATTTTGTTTATGGTTAATTTAAAGTGATAATAACTCTTCGTTTCGGCCAAAAAATGAATTTTCCTGGAGTAAACAACAATTTTCCCATACTTACCAATGGTTAATGAATCCATTTTTACATTCAAAGTTAGTCCCTGGTTTTTTTTCTAAAAAGTTTGGTTTTTTGTTAAAATCTCTTAAGAGATGTTAACAGAGTATAGCCATCAATGGAGGTCACATGGTCTAAAGACAAGCTCAGATATCAGAATAATAGCTATAACAGCCGTTTTTGTGGGAAAACAGTATATATTATATTTTTATGAGTCACTCACAATGTTTTTACTGTGCAATACAGATTTCATACGAAGAGTTATTATCCCTTTAAGCAATTAAATGGAACTGGATTGGCTTTTAATATGAAAAAGGTGAATGAAGTGGTGCTTATTGCTTTATTATATATTCTGTACATGGTCAATAATAAAATTGATTACTCTTTTATTTTTTGTGGGTATCATTTTATTAAAACAAATCCAAAATTCTTGAATATGAAGAATGTTTATCTTGCGATTTATAAAAAAAACAACACATATATGAATACTCACACAAAAGGACTAAAAGAATGATTGCCTTAATGTGTATATTCATTCTGTTTATTTTCAAGTCTATTTCAATTATGTTGAGAACTTCAGACAATATTTTAAAAGAATTTGCTTACAAAAATAGCCACTATATTAGCACAGAAAGACTAGGTGATCTTTGAAAACTGACAAAAAATAGTTGGACGGCAGATATAATTATCACAAAGGTAGACAATGTGCATGTGAGTTACGAAATACCTGTGTAAGTTCTCCAGTGTTTAAATACACTGATAGTCTATCATCAGACAGGTCTAATACACAGCAAATATATTAACACCAGAGTATCTTGTTTAAAGACACTTGCAATCATGCAGTAAATGTTAACAGAGTACCAAAACTGGTTTGATAGAACATATTTACCTATCACAGAAAATATCATACAGGTGGTTGAGATATTTCAGCCACATATTTGTGAATTATATCGATGGATATCTAGCAATTCCCACATCTATATATAAAAACTGCTTTTTTGTGCCATATAAAACTATATACACAATGGATTTATACAATGGAATTCAGTGAGCACAATAGATGATATAATATACTTATATACAATATATTTAAATCTTCACACAGCTTGAATGAAATTGACTAGACTACTGCCAGTGTATATAATTTTTGTCATTTCACACAAAAACAAATAACAACAATGATGAAAATAAAATAAGAATAACAAAATTCTCTACTTGGGTTTTTCCATAAATTGTTCCACTTTCAATTTGGTGAAAATCTTTCTATGGCAAGTAAACACACTTATGACAATTTAAAATTAAATATATACAAAGTACACAGAAGTCCACAACAATTCAGCTGTATTGATAGGGCTGTAGTAGGATTATTGCTTGACAGATTGATTGGAAGCCATAGATTGGATCAATTTAAATGTGTTAGAAGTGTTACAGCCCACCAGTGTGGTAGTTGTGACAAATGTGTTAGATGTGACACCACGGCTGACATGGTATGACACAAATCCAGTGTTGTTCTGCCAACATCACTGAACAGAGTCCCACTGCAGTCGGTAACGCAGGAAACCTTTCTGAGCCAATGAACTGTTCACATTCCTCTCTACTTCCTCAGCGACTGCCTTCTCTTCCCGGTGACGCTCTTGTAATCTTTGTATATAACCATAATCCAGTGGAACTTGTCCATTCTGTTGTCCATTTCTGGGTGAGTATTCAACCTTGCCATTCAGCTGGCTCTGCTGGGGCCGAGATTTTGACAAACTATTGGTCAGACCATTTGAATGATTCCCACCATCAAACTGTCTGAAATTTTTCTTTTGTAATTTATTCTGGTACCTGTAGTTGCTTGGTTCTGGCGACTCCGTCACCGTGGGAAGGTTAGAGTTTCGTGGGGACCTATAAACAGCGTTGTCTAGAACGTCGTTTTTCTCTTGCTGATGGCGGCTGTGGAGTTGTTCTACATGATTAATCTCCTGCACGTGGCTCTCAGCCTGGTTGTACAAGGCAGGAGAACTGACCTCTGGAGGAGTCTCTGAGTCCCCCCTGGTCATTACCTTTGGCTTGGGAACAGTCTTAGCATACTGCAGTGCCTGGGAGGAAATTTGAGCACAAAGACATGAATGTAAACACTGTCGCTAACAATAAATACCTCATATCTATACATACATAATATTTCTTGTATAAACATCTCATAAAATTTGTAATGCCTTAAAAATCTACATACTAAAAGTGTATGTATTGTTAAACAGTTTTCATGTTTTGAGTAGCACCAGCACCTTTCAATGTAAAATGCAGAGCCAAAAATTAAGGAAAGAAAAAAAAAAAAAAAAAAAACATAAAAATAGACCACCTTAAGTTATCAGTAGGTGCTACACATTTTTCATTACAGTTTTATTTTTAAAAAAAGTATTATGCTCAATCTAATGTCACTTCTTATTTTCTAATGGGTTTTTATAATGTAACCTTCCAGTCATGAAGCAAGACACTTATATGGCACAATATGGACACAGTGTTAGTGAGAAATATCATTTGTGCAAAAGCCGTTTGGTTTTGGCATGAGGACCAAATGGAAGTTTGCAAGGTGGTGAACTACATATATCCCATGCCTGGTGAGAATCATTATGTTGGGAATGCTGAGTATGGAGTCTTTACAGATTCCACAGTACTGATTCTTAATTAAGTCTGATGCTGTTTCAGTTCTGCCACCGCCCTGCGTTCGCTGTCATGACGCTCTTTTAGCCTCATTAAATCCTCCATCTCCTGTTCAGCTGTTTTAGAGCTGGCGGCTCTACTGGGAGATTGCGGCTGCACGGATCCTGCCCTGCCTGCAGCTATTTCGTAGGAATTAAATTCTGTAGGATGCCTAGAAGCAACCTGGGGTTTGGGAATGCTCTTTGCATACTCCATAGCCTAGAGAGCAAAGGGGAAACAAAAACAGAGGGATAATGCACAACAACAACAAATGCACTCATAAATCGTAAATAAAAACATTTACTGACATATGTCTTAGATAATGCACACAGTATAATTATATATTTTAAAGACTCTCAAATCAAAATATAAATCATTTCAACGGGCCAGTATTATTATTACAAAACAGATATGTGGATGACAATATCTCTAAATGATGAAAGAAAGAAAAAAGAACAATTAAAAAAATAATAAATAATATTCTAATCATATCACAATAAATAAATATAAAAAATAATCATATATAAAACAATACATAACATCTTAATCAAAGCTAACAAATATATGACAATAAAAAAAATAAATAAAATCAACACCAGTGCACATGCATTAAGGAACATTCTAGCTGTTTTTCCAGTACTTGTTCCAATGGTCTCTAACAAAAACCCCCATGTCTGTGCTGTCAAACTCTTCCATATTCCTTGCACGTCAAGTAGTCCATCCACCATTCTCAAATATATCAAACTGAGGCAGAGCTTTCACTCACATTAACAGATTAACACGCCTCCTCCTGGTGTTGAGTAGAATACTGGAGATTATATGAGTATGTGGGAAACAAGAGGAGGCATGTTTATCTGTTAATGTGATTGCATTCAGTGCAAGACCCCATGGAGCTCGATCTAGTTAGAACAATAGCTTCATTGGGCATGGGCCGTTATACAGTGCCGTTTGTGGACATGACAAAACCAGAAAAAAAAAAGACTCACCAGTTTTCTCCTGTTCATAATGTCCTCCTTTTCCTTATCTTCCGCAGTCCCTTGTGGACGAGGTCTTCCCGGTTTGAAAGTTTGTTTCTGTTGCTCCTTCACCTGCTTGGCATACTGTAACTGCTTCTGTCTCTTCTCCGTCTGAAATGTGTGCCACAAACATCCATCTAATAATCTTTCTTGGTACTAGCATTGAGTACAACTATATACATGCTTTTTTACAAAGCACAGTAATATGACTACAAACTGCATATTGTGCACAGGTTGATTTCCACAATGTGAAAGCTGGCTAGTTGGCAGACTTCATATGAAAATACTGTCCATGTAACTTAATACAGATACATAACACACACTTTGAGAGAGTAGCAAATTTCACCCCCCCCCCTGCCCCTCCAACCCACTCCTTACTGTTTATCTCTCTGGGTCTGAATCTACTGCCCTTTGCTCTCGGGGTATACTTACCCTCTCCCTCAGGGTCTGGTTATCCAGATCAGGCCCCAGTCCTCCTAGCTGTATCTCTTTCTTGAGCTTCCTGTAGTCATTGATAGTGTAGGCCTTGTACTCCCCCTTGGGCTGCTTCTGTTTCTGGAAGGCCTCCATGTAACTGCCCTCATCACGGGGGACTGCTTGTCTTCTGCTTCTTAAAAAACAATAATAACAGAAATTATAACAAGTTTTAAATTATACATATAAAAGAATAGATAAAGCTGTTAACTATTTAGCACTGAGAAAATAGCAGGATAAAGCAATCAGGTACAATTTTTACAAAATTATAATAAAAGAATGAATGAAGTATAACAAACTGTTCAACTTTTTATATTCCCCAATTTTTTCACATAACTATAATTCATGATCACTCTTCAACATCATTAATGGACAACAACAGACCCTCCCACCAAATACCAACTTACTTTTCCCGTGGCTGCCAATAGGTGGCAGTGTTTCATAGTGGTGGGCACCGTGGACCTCTGGGTGGGTGTGTCTCAGACGAGGAGACTCATCATCGTAAAAGTCCCTAGGTGGTCCCTGGAAATGAAATATTATCTTCATAAATGACAACTTTTTTTTCACTATGTGGCACTGTCAGTACCACAGCAAGCACTATAATGTAATAAACATATTATTATTTCATTAAGACCTGCTTACCACACACAAAACATACTTCTAAGCTCTATCACATTTGTGTACAGATACTTTTTCTCACTTATCATTCCAAATGACTCAGGCAATATTTTATGTGTACATGATTTGTTATTCAGTTACCAATGATTTATTATAAACACAATTGCTTTAGTGCAGTTCACAAAAAATATGTAATGCTCTACCCTTGGCAACCATGGCAACATGTTCATAATCATGTAAAATCTTCACACACACACACACACACACACACACACACACACACACACACACACACACACACACACACACACACACACACACACACACACACACACACACATCTCTCTGCACCAACCTGACTGTGCTGCCAGGCATACTGTCTGGAGTCTGCATACTGCTGCCCAGGGGGGGCACCTTGCCTTGGAGTAGCATAGTGATACTGCTCAGTCTGCTCAGTCTGCTCTTCCCAGCCTGGCTGTGGTACAGGAGGGGGTCTATGCTGGGGGTAGTAGCCTCCCTGGGGGCCTTGCTGGTACTGTGGGCCCTGCTGAAGAGGGCCAACAGGGGCCAGGTGGGCCTGTGGGATGGGCCCCACTGGCTGATGTATTGCACGGTTGTGGGAGAACTGGTCTGAGAGATGGGACGGGTATGAAGGCAGGGGTCCCACGGGTCTGTCCCGGTTCTGGGATTGCACCAAAGGCCCAACAGGGGGAGGGGTGATCAGTTTGAGGTTTATATCCACGCTGACTCTTTGACCGTCATCTGTCCACAGAGTCTGGGTGATGGGACGGATATCGAGAGAAACAGACTCCCGACTGCCAACCGATGCACGCCTCACTGGTACAGGCACTGGGTCAGGGTCCACTGTCGCCTCTTTAGGCACAGTGGGACGGTGCTGAAGAGGCTCAACAAAATGGGGCTTGGATTCCCTGAAATTTATCTTACTTTCGCTTGGGAACTTCCGCAGACCATTCTTCACAGAACCTGTATTCTTACTGAGTCCTGCAGTGAGACTTTTCTCCTTTTTCTGTGACAGCATCTGAGATCTCTTTGACCATAAGTCTTCAGCTGAGGAAGGCTTTTGTTTTAGACTTTTAGGAGCATCCTCGGGAGTAGCTTTTACAGGTGTTACTTTGCTGTCTGCAGAATAAGGTTTTGGCTTCAGGTTCTTTTTCACAGAATCAATTTGTTTGACTTTGCCAGATTGTGTTTTACCCTCAGTAGGTGCCGAAAGTCTGGGTTTCAGTCTTGGAACTGGCATGACAGCCATTTCTTTCTTTTCCTGAAATTTCTGTCCATAGGTCTTTTTAGGAGCTCCTTCATTTAAAATTTTCCTATTTCTTTCTATAAAATCAACTTGGTTTTGGTTCTTAGATGGACTCCTTTCTCCCCTTGATGGCTGACCTGACCTTTGACCTCCATCCATCCCATCATCCTCTGCCTGTGGATCATCAGCATACTGGTAATACTGCTGCTGTTGTACAGACGAAGGGCCATTCTGTATATATGGCCCTTGAGAAACATAGCCCTGACCTTGTGGGCCTGATTGACCAAAACCTTGACCTCCATGGTCATAGCCTTGACCTTGTGGAGCAAACTGTCCATAACCTTGACCCTGTTGGTCATAAACTTGACCTCGAGGGTCATAAACCTGACCTTGTGGCCCAGGATGGCCATAAAACTGTTCCTGTGGTATGGGCTGACCATACTGATTAAGAGGTCTTACAGGTTGGCCACTGTAAGTCCCTGAATATTCTCTGTAAGAATCTCTTGGAGAGGGCTGTGGAGCCTCCCTGTAAGATTCTGGAAAAGAGGCCTGAGGTGGCTCTCTGTAAGAATCTCTAGGTGGGGCACCAATGGGTTCCCTGTACAAGTTCCTAGGAGAGGCCTGAGGGGGTTGGTTAGACTGGAACTGACCCCTGAACTGACCACCATAGCTGTGATCAGGGTTTGCATACATCTGTGGCTCATAGTTATTGTGTGACTGTGGAAGCATGGATTGTGGAGGTGGTGGACGTTGGTCACTGTAGAACTGGCCATCTGGGTGTGGCCTTTGATATGCTGGATGAGGTCTGCGGTCATCTGGGTGACCCATTTGGACATAACGGTCATCTGGTGGCAGGTTTCTGTTGTAATGGTCAAGGTGTGGACTCTGGTAGTATTGGTCATCTTGTGCTTGTCTCTGGTAATACTGGTCGTTTCTGTTATACCCATCATCTGGTGGCAATGACTGAAATAAAAAGAAATATTCACATTAGGGCAAATTCTCACAAATATATGTTTGTTTTCATTTCAGCACAGTTCAATAATACAGGTCACAAGACATGACAAAGACATTACAGGACTGCTTTAGCTTACTACTGCTAGATTATGATAATAAGAAAGCCCTAGCCAGCAATTTGCACAGCATAAGAACCAGGTTCATATATACTGGGGTAGCGCTAGCAATTTTTTTTCCTTAGCTAAATCATCACTTTTTTGTCAATTTGTTATCCAAATGGTTATAGTTTGACAAAAACAAGTCAAATCAAGCCCTTTTTGTTTAGCCAATTTTAGTCAGTTTTAGCATTTGGTGAGTGTTAGCGCTGTCCCGGATGTATATATATTGGCATTTTCTTAATACCAACAATATTTCTCAATAAGATTTAAAAAAAAAACATCCAGCTGAGTACTCCTATATACATTATAACACTGACTTTCTTCTTTGTAAAGGGATTAAGTCAGCTGCAACATAAATCCATAAATCAATACCAAACAAACCTGATATTTATCAGGATTACTCCTGAGTGCATATTGGTCCTGCTCATACTGTCTCTCATGCTGGTCTTGTCTTGGTGGCATGACATCCTCCTCGGGCTGGGAGCCACGGTGGTAACCACGGGAACGGGATATTCTACCTCCGTAGGTCAACTGTTCTGAAGAGGCATCCCTGACGGCATCCTGACGTACCATTCTCTGTGGGTGGACTGGCTGGCCAGTGGCGTGACTCTGGCCGGTCTCCTGGACAGGGTGCCTCTGCTCATAATAGGTCTCTGTTCTTGACTGGTTTTGAGCCACATGTGGTGACCTCTGGTGGCCAAGGGGTGACCTAAAGTCAAGACTTTCCCCCATGTCGTCTATGCTGTCTCTACTAAAGTCTCGTTCTCGAACATGACCTTGACCCTCATCTGGAAGCTGTTCATCATGATCCTGAGGAAACGGAGTCCTGCGCATTTGCCGACTCGTCCCTGTATCCTGAGTGTTAGGGTCATAATGAACACGGGACGCTTGGCTAGTCTGACGTATTGGGTCATCATCTGGATCATCCAGGCGTGAGAACGGAATAGGTGGTGGGTTTTTCCAACTAAGATCATCTGTGGGTTTAGACTCTTCCTTTCGATATGTGCCCCCACCCTGTTGGGCCTCAGCATCTAAAGAGTCTTGCAGAGCTTCACTGTTCCAAGTCTCCTGACCTCTGTCATCTCTCAAGGACAGGTCAAGGTCATCTTCCTGGTTAAAATCCAAAGGAGGTATTTGTGTGTCATGTAAAGACTTCTCCTGCTCATGAAGCCTCTGCTTCAACATTTGTTGGTATTCCTCCTCGCGTTGGAGATCAGCAGCATCAATGTCTAATGAATCAGTGGGCCTGGCCTCATCATCATCTTCTTCATCCTCTTCTTCCTCATCTCCATCCTCACCCTGGTCGAACTGTGACCTGCTCCTCCCTCTCTGAGCTGCATCCCCAAGTTGCTCATTTTGTAGTCCATTTCTACTAGACTGCCCATAATTATTGCTAGGGCTGTTTCTATGACTTCCATTGGCAGCTTGTATAGCTGACTGTCTTCTCGACTCTCTCTGATTGGCCGATGTTTGAGGGCCCTCTCTGTTAGTTTGTCTTTTATTGGCCGAGGTTTGTGTAGGCTGTCTACTAGGCTGCCTTTGATTGGTTGAAGTTTGTGTGGGCTGCCTACTAGGCTGTCTCTGATTAGCTGAAGTTTGTGTTGGCTGCCTGCTAGGCTGCCTTTGATTGGCTGATGTTTGACTAAGCTGCCTTTGGTTACCCGCAGGTGAGAAGTCAGTCCCACTGGGAGTGAACTCCCCAGTATTTGTGGGTGTACCACCATTTTTAACAGGTGTCCCACTGTGCTGCTCTCCCTCTACAATTTGTTTTGATCCAGGCCTGTCATTTTGCCTGCTGTATGTTGGGGTATTCTGACCTTGTCTGCTTTGTATTGGTCCAGCAGGAGTAACGTAAGAGTACTGCCTTGCACCCTGGCGGCTTCCAGTATTACTCAGCTGCGTATTCTGCCTAGACTGCTGCTGAATGTTACTCCCATTCCGTACAGGGAGATGTTGTCCGCCGTTCTCAATGACACTGAGGTCTTTATGCAAAACTGACCCATTTTGAGTCATGCCATTTCTACTGTTAACACCTACTGTAAGGTTAGCTTGCTCAATGTTTTCATCATCGTCATCATCATAATCCTCAATCCTACTGCTGACAAAGCGATACTGGTCATCCTCATCTTCATCCTCATCCTCAAGAACCACTCTCTTCACAGGATTGCCTGACATTCTGGACGAGGACGATGTGGGATGCATTTCACCATTTTGTGTGCTGCTGACATTGTCATTACTGTCATTGTTGTCGTTGTTGTCATTGTTGTCATCTTGCAGTAGAGATGCTAGAAGTTGTGGGTTGCTTGCATGTATGGTGCCATGACTAGATGGAGGGCCGTCTCGCATTGTGGGTTATATCCCATAGCATTAACTGAAAGGAAAAGAAAATAAGACATTCTTTACAATCTAGTATGCATACATGTATTCATTTTTAAAAATCTACATCAGCAATCGCGAAGTAAATTCCAAAATGCAGTTTAAATTGATAACGAAATACATTGTGAAAAAATGTCAGTAAATTCATTGTACTTAAAGGTTTTACATATTCTTAACTGATAAAGTAGTGTTTACTCAAAGCCATTATCAACGAAAAAATGCTCTGTTATAATTGAACACCTCACTTATCTTAGAAGTGCTGCATGCCATTTAAAAACCAAACTTTCCAGACTTAAGCTGAATTTCAAACAAATAGTACTAGACTGAGCAAACTTAAGACTTATTTTGAACAATTTTGAAATTTTACAACTGAATGCTTTTAAGTGTTATTTGTCTGCATTTAACTATCTAATGGAAAACACTTGAAAAATGTTGATTGTAAGCATGCTTAATACTGCTGTAAAACCATGATAATAGTTCTTATTTTCTCTTTAAGATCCATAATAGACACTTACAGTCTCTGCTACACTTAAAGAGGGCAATGAATTACCAGTAACAAAATCACACAGCTAATGCAAACAGTTTATCCTTCTTGATCTATCAGAACTATGTCCCAAAAGGTATACATGTATAGTACAGAAAACAGCCCATAGGTGCACATGAATTATAGCCAAGTGACCCATAGAAACCACTAACATTACAAAATGAACACTTTTTAACATAATTTAAGTTTCCAAATAACAACTTTTGTATCTCACAGTACAAAATGCTCTTGCACAACTTACCATATAAAAATCTGTAAAGATATTAACACTTATGTGCCGCAATGTAATTCCCGAGACTTAGACAAATTAGTGAGTTGTTTGTTGGCAAGAACAACATCTCCACTCTCACCTTCCGACTGTGAATTATTTAGCAGAAGAGAGAATCAATAACTAACACTTTAGAAGAGGGGATAGATCAATCATATATCTAACCTACCATGGTGACATTCTCCACTGAAAGGGGACATAGATTATACATACAGGCATGGCTCTACTTAAATCTTTCAGTGCCCTACCATGCATAGCTAATATTGACTATTGATTATCCATGGCTGTGACTTTCAATGATCAATAAGCATACCAGAGAACATGTATGGTAAAGAGCAGAAGCCCTCCCTGAGATATCAATAACCATCCACTCCATTTCACGTCAATGCATGGTGATCACGGTAACGATTATTCAGTTCGATACAACGGGACACGTTAATTAGAGTTATTCACCGGTATGACCACCGCAGATATTCCGGACAAGGGACTGGCCTCTGTTATTGGTCTTCACAGTGCAGTCTCGAGGGAGACCCCCTCTGGGCAGTGAATACAGACATGCAATACACACCTTTGTCAACAGATACCCTTTTTTTCTATTTTGGTGAATAATCAATGATCAGAGTTCAGCATTGAATTATTCACTTCACTGTCTAAAAGCTGAATAATTATCAATAGAAAAAAACTTATATGAGCTACTGGAAAACAAACTGTAAATGAAATAAGCCATGCTTTAAAAGAGTGCTTGCTGGGGGGCTTTGAACCAATTCAACAGTAAGAATTGTATGAATTGCAGAGCTTTATGCAAAATGAAATAGGTAACTAGCAAAATGATCTGAACTTCAACCTGGGAAAAACCTGCATAAAACAATAGGCCCTGCCATGCTCTTTTCAACACTAATCTGGAAATGTATGACTGCAGAACAGAGCACAGCATGGCCTACTGTTTTCTGCTCAAACCATGGTTAACTTTTTGTTAGAGCAAAACCAATACTTAACACTTAAAAAACAAAAATTTATACTGCCATGACGTACAATCAAATTATTCGACCACACAGTGTATATATTATATGCCAAGGTATGTAAACATAAATGTCCAAAACAGATTTTTGCAGGACAAAAAAAGGGATGTCTATTGTTAAAATGTAATAACATGTCTTCTATACTGTTGCAACTGCATGGCTTAAAATACTAAGAACAATATTTTTGTGCCTATTTGACATGGATTGAAAAATCTTTATGAAAACAAGACCATCAATACCTTTAAAAAAAGCTTGCTCAAAAACAAATATTTATATCTTATTTCCTGACAATATCTTGATCAGTGGATTCTTTTTAAAATATTCATTCAGAAAGAAATCTTGATAGAGACATAGTCTTGTCTATTTACTTATTTATTCTTTCCCAGAAAATGGTTACGAAAAGAGAAAGATAAATAAACCTATAATATAATTACAAATGAGAACTACTAGTAATCGATTTGGAAGGTTATTGCTAAATGGAAAAGATTCTGGCACTGCAATTTTGATGAAAATTGCAAGAGTAAATATGAACAAGATATTGACTTATGACAAGAGATTGGTGAGGGGGAATCCACCTCATTTTTGAGAGGAAGCATCCCAAAATATGTCACTTAAATACCACTGAACTCAATGGAGATTTTGCTTAATTGGTCCTTCAATGACAAAAATGTGTAAAAGAAAAATTACTGCCTTGACCTAGCAATTCCAATTGATTTACATACACATGCTTCAGGACTTTGCAGAAGGGAAAAAAGCTTACAAGATATTACATACCAACAGTCAACCTTGTTTATGAGAAAAGGCAACTCAAACATGCTTTTTAATTGATTTTACACACACAAGAATTACAATTGAATTGCACTTAGGAAATTGAAATTTAAATGAACCAGGGGTTTTACACATGGGCTGCCAATTTCGTTTCCATTATAATTATATTATACTTTCTATACCAGTTGTCCAAATTCTACGCAGATAGATACTGAACATTGCCATTTGATGAGATAAGAGAAAAGTGATCTTAATTAACACAGTGGGCCAAGATGGAGGCAGGGCAGAGAAAATGATTCAAGAAATGGGAGTTTAAAACTGCAACCTTTTGATTGCAATTGCAAAATAAATAATAATAATTGTAAAATAATATTTTTGTAATTACTCCCTGTACTGTTCATATAAATTTACCAATGCATTTACCCTAAACATAGTATTATAGAGGCTCACCCTTACCACTAATAAACAAATTATCTGGATAGCTTATGGGTACTCTCCATGCATTTTCAAATCTCTCACTAGCATATTTATGCTCTGTAAAGCTTCTTATAAGTTACATTTCACAATCCAGACCCTAAAGACGATAAAACCCTTGAAATAAAACTTTTTAGAAGCATATCTACTATAGAGTTATTATTACTTTCTCCTCAGCCTCCTTGGGTTACCATTGCCAGCTTGAAGCAGCTGTATTATACATGGCATAGGGCTGCAATACAAAACACCCCATCATACATGTACAGGTAGATGCCTTTCTATTTGACTGGCCAGTCATTTAAAACTTAAGTATATATATATATATATATATATATATATATATATATATATATATATATATATATATATATATATATATATAAACGTGATCCAAGTGCAGGGAAGGGTCAAGTTCTTATTCGCAAGTAAAAGAGAATTGCTCTTTACCCCAAGAATATTCATTTGTCGGGTAAATCTCGTGGAGAGCATCTTTAATTTCAAATGCTACTAGTACCACATTTTCTTTACAAACTACCCGATAGGAAACGGATAAATAAGTGCGTCTAGGATTAGGAATTAACTCTGCAAAAACTTTCAATTTGTTTTTATGGTTGGCAACAACTTTGACAGTAACTGTCACTGTGTCAGCACCTTGACGTTGTACTACTGTCAGTCGGTGACAATATATACACAAACTAATGACAAAATGTTGACGTCGCTTTCAAAACGTCTCCCTTTTCACGAAATACCTTAAACCGATCGTCTAGCTATTAAGTCGAAAGCCTTCGCATATGTATAAACTGTTGTATAGTCTTTTTGTAAATATTTTCAGCCAACACATGATTTAAATTATTGAAAAAAAATTACATTGCCTATTTAATTTATACTCACGTACAGGATTCAACATGGCGTACACATATCCCAGAATGCCATATGATATTTATGTTGTCATGATAACTGCCGTTAGATGGCGCTGACAATGACATACCGGTTAGGACACTGATGCGTCATAGTTCTACCACCTGTAGGCCTACTTGTTTGGCAAGAAATCTTATAGCAAAAAATAGTTAGAAAAATAAAAAACAGCATATCACTTAAAAAAGAGAGTAATTGGAAATTTTTTAGAAAACGCTTATTTTTCATCATCGTTCACTGTTTAAGAAGAATATCAATAGGGAGTTGAACAGAGTCGTGGTATGCGTGGGGGTGAAGGGTGAGACAAGGTTGCCTCCCAGAGTTTTTATTTTATTTTATTTTATTTTTTAAATTTTTTATATATGTTTTTTTACTTTTTCATTCTTTTAACTTTAAAATTAGAACTTATCAGTAAAATAGATTCAGAAAGAAATTATGGATCAAAATGTATCTTAAAGGTAGCCTATCTTATCCGGAATTTATGTAGTCTACATTTTGTTAATTCTGGCTGCACATATGTAAGCGTAGCTTTTGGTATACCGGTATGGAGTGATTCAGATTAGGCATAATCTCTGCTGCTTTTTAAATTTAAATTGATTTGAGGTATAAAAATTGCATTACAAAAGTAAGGTCCTCTGTTCTTTTTCCTTTACAAGAGGGATAAAAATTGAACCAAAGTACATTTTAGTTCACTGCAAATTGAGCTGTTTATTGCCATATAAGAATTCAAATTATTTATAAAGAATATTACACAGCATACATATATAATATTTACAATTTTTTCATAATGGAACAGACCACAGTTTGATGACTCATTAAAAAAGATAACAAAGCCATGATAAAATATCACTACTATTAGATCGGTGCCATCCTGGAGATACATTTTTGCTTTATACCAGTATATAAAATTCACATATACAATTCTGTGTATTGGTTAAGAAGAAAAAAATAATAGAATCATTGAAATGCATTAAGTTTTTACTGGGATTATTATTATTATTATTATTATTATTATTTTCGGGAATAATGGAGATCTCAATGTATACCCGATTTTATCTTTATAGAGATCAATACCTATGCGGCCTTGTCTTTCCGCGTCACGTTTACTGATGGAACTAAAACAGTTTCCTTATAAACACTGCTGCTTGTTAGCACCTAAAACGGAAGGGGAAATAGACACCGTCTTTATTAAGACAGCCTGACCATTTTAGGGCAGCACATTTTCATTTGTGTATATATATATATGACTCATGATGGCGCCCCGCCTCCTGGAAGACGACTAACACTGCACCACAATCACTGTCACAACTAACGCAATCTCAATATTTAACACTTGAACCTAATAAATGCATAAACTAAAACAAGTCTGTACAAGATGATAACCGCCTTCACAGTCACTTCACTTCCTTAACAGAAATGCAGATAGTTCATAACTATAATATTCAATATAATACCAGTAGACTACTTACGTCATCAAATCATTACCAAACACTTCAATTTCGCCGCAGTTTAATTACAGTACAATCTTGTCTTTGACTTATATAATATAAAGAGAACAGGAATCCTTTTTTTTTAAGTCACTATCAACAAGAAAACAAAGAACAATGAAATATTTACAGTGCGGTGTCTCACTTTTCTACTGTTCTGGAATGTTAACAAAAAAATCTTATTATTTACATCCTGGTTGTAAAACAACACGTGGTCCCGGAAAATACTCCGTATGCTGGCAAGGTTTGAAGACAAACCACACAGTGAACTGAGTGAAGTGTTACTGTTAGCACGTCTCTCTACGCGCCTTGCTTACTAACCGATATGATTTTTTTTCTGGGGGATGGGAAAATAAAAATTAAATAGAGGCAATGCCTACACGTAGAAACATTTCACTGTTATGTATGCATAACCCTAAAAAAAGATTTAAAAAGTTGGAGTTTTGAGTTTCGATTAAAGTTCTAATGCCCTCTTCATATGTGAGTATTGAAAAAAATCAAAACATGAGGCAAATGTGGAAAACGGATAGCCTATTTCCAGTGAGATGATAACCATCGCACTCGCATTCATTTACGCTGTGATTGTCTTAAACAGTAAAACCAGACAGAAACCATTTGATGTGAAACATGTTTAACTACCAAGGTAGGTAGGCCCTTGCTACTAAATTTTGAATTAACCACCTACTTCTAAGGTTTCTCGAGTATAAAGAGTTATAAACATGTCCACGTCATGTCGGCCTTTTGTGAACAGTTGTCTTGGGCTGCACGTGAGTACCCACACTGCTGAAGAGACACCGGAGTTGCACGAGGCAGAGCAAGCATTGTCTGATTCTGGAAGGTTGATGAAAAGACGTCCAAATTGGGCTGGGCCATATAGTTACGAGAAGCTTGTAAATCGGAGTCTCCATACGTTCGTTGGTCCTGCACACAATTCGGCGAGACGTAACCGTTGGTAGTTTGGCGGTGGTTTTTACCACAGTGAGACTGAGCAAAGTTTCCCTGAGAAGACGCAGTTGATAAATGCAGATTGTCCATTGCATTAGAGAAGACGCATTGCGGTTGGGTAGATTGGATTATATCTCCCAATAACTGCGTGTTGTTCGGGGAAGGGACTATTCCTGCCAGGGGACTTCTCCGCATGTTTTGAGTGTGGACTTCCATCGACCCGTAGAATCTTTGCGGTGAAGCGTGAGGACTGTTTGCTGCGTTCGGGAAAACAGAATGCGGTGGAGGGGACAACATATTTGTGGAAGACACTTGTGGAGACGTCTGCGCGTTGTGGTGCGGAGATCTTTGGAACCTGCAGCTTGTCGCAACATCTTCGACTTTTATGTCAAGAGGGTGCTCGGGTATTTGGCACGTGAGTGGATGCCTCGCGCGATTAAGTGTCTCGGCGTCGACGGCAAACCGAGATGAGCTTTGAGCATATGCAGTTTTGAGATCTGGCAAAGCCTGAAGAGACGCTGGCACCGAAGAGCGAGGAGACGCCATCTGTCGACACTGTTCTTGAACAGCCTCATAATAGCTCGGAGGGTCCCGTTCCGGAGCGCGCGCAGGCGACGCGGACAGGGAAGGCGTCTGATTGGTCAGAGATTGTGGAGTTCCGGTTTTTGATTGGTCAGCGACTGGATTTCCTTCGTTCCCAAGGCAGCATGAATAAATGAATGAGATTGCTTCTGGATCTGCTTTCACTTTTGGTTTGAGGATAGTTTCAAAATTGAACTTGTAGGTATATCTTTTGCCGTGCACCTTGTTCATGATCAGCTTGTCGTAGTAGTACCTGGAATATAAAGGTCAATGCAATGTTAGTAAGACTTCACAAAGTGCACTTCTGACCAAACATCAACTTAGTGTGGGAGACTCGGTTTTGTAGGATGTAAATTTCCTTTAGATTCTTTAGCAACTTTAAGTTTTTTAATAATGCTTCATTCGTTATTTGACTTATTTTGGATTGGAAATGCGTATCGTCATCTAATTGTTTTCACGTAATTCACATCCAGTAGCCAACACTTCTGCTCATAGAGCACAGAGCGACTTCACGCTGAGGATTATTCTTTGGCCCAATCAGAATTATATTGGTTATCTATCTGCTGCCAACCTTATCTAGAATTTTACCTGAGTGCTCGACTAAGCTTGTCATAGTTCATGTTGGGTTTCTTCTTCCTTAACCCCCACCGCCTTGCCACCTCGTCCGGGTCGACCATTTTGAACTCTCCCTCGGAGCTGGTCCAAGCAATAAAGTGACGGTTCGAAGGATCTCCTAGCATCTCCAGTAAAAACTGCCATAGCTGTATTTGACCCGTCGTTTCTCCCTTTCTCCCATTGGCCTGAATGTCTGGAGGTGACGTCACAGCTTTGGATTCGCACGGAATCTTTTCATCTTAAATGATAATATCACAGTGCTCATTTTCCTTAACAACCCCATTTTTTATACTTTTCAAGGATATGGTATAAGAATGAAATAAGAAGGAAATTAGTAACTGACTGTGAAAATAAACAAATATACGTGTATGTAGAATATGAAAATTGCGACTGTTTTGATAATATTGAAGGAAGATGACACATTAAGCTGCGTTTATTAACGCAAAACAAATGCGATCTGAGCGAGTTGTGTGACGGAGATGTTTCTTTGAGCCTATTCTTTCAGTTAGGACCTCTTCATATTAATACATGTTAATGTTGAAGATTTAAATACAGCAATGCAAATTACTAATATATTGAAGACATTAATTTACACGTAATTAAAATGATTAGTGAATATTCATTAAAATAATTAGTTACAATTAAAACTTGAGTCTAGCTCAGTCTTTATTTTACGGAAATATCGCCACACTATTTCTATTTACCAAAAACAAACAAAATTTAAAAATAAAATAAGTGAATGCATTTTTGATAGTTTAAAAAAACTAAAACGGATTAGATGGCGTCCTCTCACCTTTACTTTCCTCCTGTAGTTTCTCTTGGATGATTTGATCAATGTCGTCGATGTCGCTCAAGTCAGCCAGTGCGCAGTCTGTGGAGGGTCCCTGGGACAGGGGACTGCCGACAGAAGATTCACCTGATAGATCGCATGAAGCCTGCGTTTCAAATATTCCTTCACGTGACGGACTGAAAATATAAGCATAAATGTATAATCTCGTGTGTAAGCGTTAGTGTGTTTTCTTTAATGTTGAAAAAAAGTTTAGGGTATGGAATCAGAAATATATATGGATACACAAAGAAATCAAAAATCAAGAAATGAAATATAAAATCTTTAAAAGCACATTAAAGGAAGTATGCAAAAGAGAAAAAGAAAGAAAAGAAAAGAAACGCAACTGAAAGTTTTAAATAAAGTTTTAAATAACTAAAAAGATAGCCTGAAGGACTTTTTTACGGACGGGCGAAAATTATCAAATTATCAAAAAAAAAAAAAAAAAAAAAAAAAAAAATAGATAACCTGCCAGCACCTTACCAGGTCTCTTCGCGGCGAGATGTGTCCGTGAGCTGGAGAAGAGTGTCAATGAAAAGATCGTGCTCGTCTGCTTGGGTCTCCATTGGAACTGCGCATGCGCTTGGCGAGAAGCCTCCTTTTATGAAGTACAGGTCGTAATCATACATATTTTGTCACCAGCGTTTTCTATTAAAATATCTAAAATGAAATGGAGATAGTGTGTTAACACAGCGTTTGTAATTTAAACTGACATCTCAACAGAGTTTTTGAGCGATATATCAAAAGCAACTTTTGAAGTGTAACCTTTGTAATAAATAGGCCTATAAAATATTTTATATTTAATATAAATGTTAAATGCAAAATCAAAAATAATTACATCAGTTACGAAAGACTAGTGGAACCTCTGTCAATATTTCCCGTATTTTACTTCATAGTCCATGCAATAAACAAACTAGAAATCACCCATACTAAAGCGAAATTACTATTTTCTTCAACGTTCAAACATTAACACAAAACTTGAGACACTCAATCACACCTCAGATAGCACCTTATAAACTAATCCTAGCACATTCCTGGGCCTTGCCGCAGTCACCTGCGTCTCAAGCATACTGGCATCTTAAATGAATTCGTCATCACGCCCATAAACACCATACTATTTAAAGGTTCGGCAAATTGGGATTATTTTCGGTCCTTTACCAGTAGCGCAAATACACTTTCTGAGCCTCGATGTGTGTGGCATAACTAACATGGAATGGAAAATCTCTGGTTTTACCAGACAAAACCATTTTTGTCCTCGACACAAAAGCTCTTCATTTTAGGAGATAAAGTGTCCTAGTCAGGCGGAACTTTGAGGCGCGACCTACAGCAGCCTTAAAAACGTATACTGAGATAATGCTTAATCAATAATAATAATAACTATACTAGGATAGCATTGAGAGCAAGTCAGTCAAATATTACGCCCTTTCTAAAACCTAAATATTTCAGTGATTAGGCTAACACATTCGAACGTAAGCAGATATGTGTCACGAGAATGATTTTTGTAAATTCAATTAATGAAAATCTAAACGCGGGTGGTCCTGATACTTGTATATGAAGCTGCACAGAAATATCGGTAAAGGAAATCAGTCAGTTGACTTATCCCTAAATGTCAGGAGAGTAATCTGCCGCCACTGACTTCATCGCAGATGTTGTAAATCCTTCTTATTATTACAATTAGGCAGCAAAAATAAAACCGCCTTTGATTTTGCACCATTGCAGGTCTAGCCGGAAGTGGCGGTGTTTCGTCAAAGGCCAATTTCACGTTTTCACTTTTATGTTACGCGTTTTTTATTTTTGCCGGTTGCTTTTTAAAGAGAAAAGAAATAAAAGAAAAAGGTAAAACGTTATCTACCGCAATCTTGGTAATCCATCTCAATTTATGAAGCTAGCATAATGTGATTATTACAGGACGTATCTGCCGAAATAATAAAAATGGCTAGTGGCACTTTTGAGGTTTGCTCCCTAATCATTGGCTTTTAAACGTTTTTCGGTCCTTTTGAAAAAACTATTACTGAAAACCCTGCTTTAGAGAAAAAAGATATTTCGTTTCACACTGGCTCAGTTACATGCCGCGCTTTGATCATGGTAGCTGAGGAAAAAAACTGTAATTGCCAGATGTAAGTTGACGCTCTTCTTCTAAATAGGCACTATCAATTTTTTTAAGAATCAAAAAAACGAAACCTGTGAAATTATATACCTGAGACTTAGATGTGTATTTTTTTCCCTCTGTTGTAGTAGTCCGATTGGAGTATTGAAATAAACAAAAAATGTCCATTTCCGAAATCAATCATAATTTCCTTTTCTCAAGTCTCTACATTATCACGATAATATCAAATCTATAATTCAATTGTAAATTTCCTTCAATTTATAGAAATAACATTTGGGTGACACAGGGGCCCTTCAAGGCAAAATATTTTTTATGCAAGGCTGTATAATTTCCACCTCGCTTAAATGATATGAATATTGTGCCAATACGCAAGTCCTGTATTGATTTCAAACTTGACTGCTCAGTTGACAGCTTGACAGCAGAGAGATGTTTATTTGTGTACCCTACCGGTGTAAGTATGAATACCACGTGAGTCAGAGTTTAGACAGGGTCTTGTTCTCCATTGTCGGACACGGAATTCTTTGACCGCAGATTGTTCAAAGAGACACGGGCGCTGACTCCGTCCTGCATGGTGCAGCCGGTGCGTCTCAGCGGACGCTTGAGATAAGACGTAGCTTTCAGACGCCGTACGCTAGTTGCTCGTAGCATCTTTTTCGGACATGGCTTACCCACTCTTTAGTCCCAGCCCCCACCCCCCTCCCCCATGGCTTAGGTTTAACCTTGACATTAACAGCGCGTCACACCTGACATCGAGCTGTGATGATCTTGTCTTGTAACTTGCACGTAACTTAATTTCTCCAGACAGATTTGTTATTAATATTGAAGTCTCCGTCGGACAGCGTTTTTGTCGCGTAACAGCCTCAAACTCTGCTGTAAATGTTTTCACAAAATGGAATATTTCGGGGAAGAGAGTATACACATACATATGTATACACATACTACACATACATTATTTTTTCAACACAACTCTGTTTTTGAAAATGCTGTAAGGCGAGAAGCATATAAAAAGTAAATATTTGGCACTAATGACCACACCAATACACGCATAACTACAACCTCCGACTTAAAAAATTTACAACGGTGTAGACACAAAAAAATACATTGATGACCACATTTTTTGGTAAGACCATATTACATAATCATCAATACCTATCGATAAAATCGCCAAATTGACATGAAATTATAATCACCAATAACAGACCCATGACAGCACTTCACATTACGTCACAGACCTACCTAACTGGAGAATTCTCCTGTCTGTGTTGTTCAAGACGTTTGGCGTAATAGTGTAGCACTGCCGATCACGCTTGCTATATATATTAACTCAGTCAATTTGAACATCACGTAAAATAGAGGGGAACCACAGGTATAAATATTTGCCAACAGTTTATCGTTTGACTTTGTCCAGGAATAATATCGAATAGTTTAACCGCCCACTGGCTGATTGTGACCTGAATAGCGATCAAATTAGTTTACAAATAAACAGATATTTGAATGGGGGACAGATAGCGTACGCTATAGTAAGGGATTACAAGAGGGACCTTTTAGGCGTTCCGATAACTGCACGAAGGCGTTGGATAAGTGCTTTCTATGGGAAGCCGAATTATTAAGTATACATTGACATGATTATCAAATTACAAGAAAGATTCCTTTATCTTCAGAAGAGTGTTTGATTCACAAGGATGACTTATATTCCTGTTTCGCACTCACTCACTTTATTTGATTTTCATCAAAACCAAACACGCCAATGGGCTTCTGTGTGTTTTTCTTTGCCATCTACGGACTCATCCCAAAGTCGATTTACTCATTAGAAATTCTACACATACGCGCAAGTGCTTTGTAAACATTTTCAATGATCAGAAAGAATTTGGGGGTCGATATAATATCTCATTTGAACAGTTATTTGTTTAATTTGAATTATCTGCACTTCATTTTGCGATGTTCCCGTCTTGAAGCGGGTTCAGTGCATGTATTACAAACTACCGACTACATAATGTAATCTTTATAGGTATGTTTTATAGACCCGTTTTACGTCACAGTTGTTTTTTTACAAATAAAATTTCACGCAGCGTTTAGCTAAAATCATAAAGACAAGATTCGATACATGAGACCAAATAAAAAATATTTTCTTGACAATTCTTTTTTTATTTCTTTTCAATAACAAAGGATAAAAGTGAAAGCTTAAAACTGACGCTTTTGATTTGTCAAAATTGTAAGACTGGACTTGAAAACGACAGGAGGCGAAGGGGTGTCAGTTACGCTCTATACATGCAAAAAAGTTAAACCTTGTATATAAAACAGATCGCTGGAAGAGGGGGGGCATTAATCTTCGGTGTTCTTTGATAAATGGTTGAAAAACAGGATGGAAACGGGAAAACTAAAATATCTCATCTGAGCAAAGACTTCATCTTTCTTTCCACATGTTGTATAAGTGAACTAGCGTCAGTAGTAAGCATGAACACAAAGGACTAAAAAAAAATATTTCAGTAAAAAGTCGCATGGGGTGCCCCTTGTTTACACAAATACAGTTCTTACATGAAATTAAAGGCTGAAATCAGGGTCAAAAATTAATGAGACAAAAATCTTCGTGGAGGAGCTACACCTTTATTTTTTCAAACTGACCCAAAATTCAGGCCCAAAAACAAGGATTATAAATGAAATAATTACGCGGGCATAATCTCTGCACCGAATGCCCACGTCCCGCCGCACTTAACCTAGGACATGGGCCACTCAGTGTAGATATTATTATCCACCTTGCGGCCTACTGGAACAAACACAACGAAAAGCAGGCCGCATTCACATCCATTTAGTTGAGACTAGCAGATCCGTGTACGGCAGACCCACTTGAAAGTAATCCCGCGGGGAATCCATTCCGTCTCTATCAGGGAATTACGCGGCAAGCTTTCAAGTGGGTCGGTCATATTTGTTAGATCTATTAGTCCGCGGACCAACTGGCTGTGAATGCACCCATAGCCTACAAGCCCCTTTTATGTTCCCTAACCTGTTGTGAAAAAAAAAAAACGGAGTTTCAGAGATGCTTGAAAAATCGCCACTTCGGTCAGCCTGCCTGTGCCGTTCCCAGTAACCTACAGAGGCAAACTGATAGCAGAAGTCAGTTTGCAGTAAACCTTAGAACTCTGGATGGGAAAAGGTGGGAATTAAAAAAGAAATTCTTCGCCAATGACGAAAAGAAAGAAAAAAAGACACGCCAGCCTGCTCAAGAGACTACACAACGGGTACATAGTGAGTGGCACTGGCCGCCTGATTGGCTACTTGGTTAATAGTCAATAGGCCTCTTGTATTTTCAACAAGGCATGTATTATCATAGCCATTATCATGTTGGTAATCCTAATCAACTGAGCTATTGTTTCTTTTCTTTTTTTCGTAAATAAAAACGGCCGGTCACTGCAAAATAAATAAATAAATAAATTAATTAATTAATAAAATAATAATAAATAAATAATAATAAAATAAAATAAAATAAATAAAAACTCATTAAGGGACTGAGTTTAACTGAACTTCTTACACCGCAGCAAAATAAACTTATTTCTCTTTTGTTTTCAATTAATATGAACTTGAGCATTATTAACCTGTAGTTAGATGGGTGGGTTACATACAATCGGGGTATTTTTTTCATTACACTGGGAGTAATAGTGTATGATATGAGAAGGGGGGGGGGGAGCGGGTTAAAAAAAGGTAAGACCAATGTCAACATCATTTCAAGAGCAGTGTACTTGGCTTATTTTCAGGACGTTTCCCCTTGATTCTATTGTGTGTATTTACATAGCAATAACAAAAAATAATCAACAATAATAACGGCAAGTTCCCAGGGTAGCAGCCATTGTTCGCGATCAGCCGGAGCATACAGGTATGACACATACTACTATTATAGTAATCAAGGCTTATTTTGCGTGTTTTAAATGTGTTACTTATGCACAGTCGTCCGATTTCTTATCTGACAGTGAGTCACCCTACCTTACACCGATACACAAGAGTAGTCTTATGTCTCAGGTTTTTCCTTGGTTGCAGATCTATTACACAAAATCTAAATGGTTTAAGGTGCTCAGATCTGCGATTGCGTTTCATTGAAACGTAGAGGCGAACAAATGATGACACTAATTTGCTGTATTTGTTACTAGTTTTGTGTTTTGTACGATATATAACAAATTTAGTGTCGTTCTTTCTTTCTTCCCTCATTCTCTCTCTTATACTTTCTCATACTCTCTCATTCTCATTCTCTCTCTCTCTCTCTCTCTCTCTCTCTCTCACACACACACACACACACACACACACACACGCACACACACTTTCTCCCTCCTGTCTCTCTCTCGCTCCCTCCTCTCTCTCTCGTTCTCTCTCTCTCTCTCTCTTACACACACACACACACACACACACACACACACACACACACACACACTCTCTCCTCTCTCTCTCTCTCTCTCTCTCTCTCTCTCTCTCTCTCTCTCTCTCTCT